AGAAGGTCCCTTGACAGCCTCAGAGAAAAAGCCAATGAATGTACTACATGGTAAAAGTTTTTTGAGGACATGGCTGCACATACCTAAGGATTAAACTACTACCAAAAAAATAGTCCTTTCACTCTTGTGGCTTTAAAAGGTGTGGTCTGAAGTTATGAACAGCTGTGTTATGAAGTCTAAATAAATAGCCAAATTTACAAGTGCTTTATTTTTGTTTTTCAGGTTTGTTGTTGTCTCTCTTAATAAACTATAGGATTACAGCCAACTAAATACTGTGTCTACTAACGCTGTTATTTTTTACAACAGTGCCAATTTTCAAAACAGAACCAGTGTAGCATTTTTAGCGTCACTTGCTCTCAGTTGAAAATAGTTCAACAGTTAACAGACCGCTGCACTCGTCAATGTCACATCCCCCTCATTGACCAATCAAGAGGCGGCAGGACTTCTGATATCAGTTTTGTCGACAACAATGGAGGGTACAATTTCCAGGACTAGAGCTGCAGCTACTGCGAGGACAGGATTCCTTGTCATTTTTTCTTTCTTTCTTTCTTTCTTTCTTTCTTCATATGTCTTTGAAGAACAGCAGCAAATATTAATTACAAAGAGCTCTCTTTAGCAGACCCAAAGGAAGAGGAGGACAACTTTCATTACGGAGCAACAATAAGCGACGGTGAGAAGCGCTCTCAAACTCTGCGCTGTAAATGGGACACGCAGGCCCTAATCTTTTGTCTTTTTGTTATTTAAACTTTACAGGAACAATATTTCAACTTAAGTAACACCAAGAGTTACAGCTTACCATTTTACATGTGAATTGTGTTTAAAACATTTTCTGTCTACAGGAGAAGTGATGATTATTTTTCCCTGTCTTCTACAAATGATCAGATTTTGCTGCTATAGGAAAGAGTAACCATGTCATAATTACCAGCTAATGTACTGAAAAGCATAAATAACTTCCCAAGTATATACTTCTTTACATTTAAGTAAATGTAGGCATCATTACATTGCCACTTGATTTGCTGAGTACTTTAAAACACAACATTTCATATGGCCCTCACTGTTTTTTGGAGTCAAAGGTTAACTTAAACAAAAGAGTTGCTTAAGAATAGTAAGGGGTTTGTAAACGATAAGTTGAGCCTATATGATCAAGGTTTAAGGATATGCTGGTTTATAATATGAGAATAAGAATCAGATTCTATTAGTATCTTAAAAAGACAAGAGAGATTATAGAATAAATAAACTCAATGCAGGCGAGCAGAGGTTGAATAAATCAAACTGGGCATCTTAAAAGAAACAGTCTGATTTTGACTACAGTAAGCTGTTTTCTCAGTCGATAAGAGCAAATAACAACCTATACATTCATCCATGCATGCCTGCACGCGGCCAGCAAAAACTGAACAAGTGCCAGGTATGTGAGTGCAGAAAACAATAAATGTTATAATTCTTATATTCAATAAAATAAGAAAAAGCTCACGTACATACTGACTGCAAAGCGAGCTCAAATATGTCTGATATTTACACAAAATAATCTGAAATAGCACCAACACGACAAACAAAGCAGAGACGTCATGTGTGAGAGCGTTCAACCAACATGTCTATTGTCATGGATAGGTAAATAAGCTAGAGAACTTTCTTTATAACGTGCTGTAAACATGTTTATGTTGAACCAAACACATGCCGAACTTTGACACCAAAAACGAGGTTCCAACAGAACAACTACCTCTGAGAGAACCTGACCTTAGTTCACCCTGGGCACAGTGAAGGACTGCTCAAGGTACTGAGATTTGCAGGGTATTGTGTGCTGAAGTCAAAAACAGACTTTAGCACACACGCGGTGTGCGTCTGATACATGCGCCCAGCATCGACTGACATGGCTTCGATATGGTTTTCGTAATAAAAGTTGTATCTGTTATTACAAACCAACCTTTCTGAGGATTTCTGGGAAAAGGCGCTTGGGGCTGTTAATTCTTCTTCTAGCTGTGCTAGGCTGTCTCTTATCCAGTTTAAAGTGCTCCACAGACTTCATTACAGCAAATATAAACTCTCCAGAATATTTCCGGATACAATTGATGAAACTTGTGGTAGATGCTCTCAGGCTCCTTGCAACCTGACTCACATGTTTTGGTCCTGTTCTAAATTAGTTAATTATTGGCAGTCCTTCTTTAAGTCCATCTTCGACATTTTAGGTATAAACATCAATCCATCCCCACATATAGCTATTTTCAGTAGGTCTCCTGACGATCTTGCCACCTCGACCACTCAGGACAATGTTATTGCTTTTGCCTCTTTAATGGCCCGCAGGAAAATCCTTCTCTTATGGAAATCTTCACAACCTCCCTCCTTCAAAGCATGGCTGCACGATGTGTTATTTCTCCTTAAGTTGGAGAAAATTAAATTCTCTCTTAGAGGGTGCTCTGATAGGTTTTACTCTCACTGGAGACCTCTGCTTCAATATTTTGAGAATCTCTCACCTGACGAGGTATTGTAGTAGTACACCTTCGCCTGCTGATACTGACCCTGTCCTCTCATGCCTATCTCGTGCCTGTTTGTATTTTATTTATTTTCTCTGTGAAGTTTTCCAATCTTGCACTTTTATTCTTGTCTTTAAACTAAGAGGTCTATTTGTTGGTCTGGGAGGGTTGTTTACAGGGCGAAGGGATATTGGGTTTTTGAATGTTTCTGGGGAAAAAGAAAAATGTTGACTGTATCCCATTTGCACTGTATGTTTTGAACTTGCTTTAATAAAAATATGTTGATTAAAAAAAATAAAAAAATAAAAAGTTGTATCTGTTTTTTCTGCTTTTATCCTGAATTTGTCTGTCCAGGACAGTTATCTAGTGAATGAAGTCACTTACAAAGATCTCACTTACTTTAGCTCTTTCTTTGGGCCCTGTTTAACAATTGTTTTTGAAGTAGAAATAAATCACTAGGCCATCTGTATGCTGCTACTAACCATTTGTAACCATCTGGTTATGGACAATATGTATTCTTGAGTGATCTCACCCCCTCTCTGCCTCCCTCTGCATACAGTTGTTTTGGTGCATGTTTGTTAATTAAGCAGCCATTTTTTAATGAAAATAAAATTGTTTCTAAATCCAGACCCCCGAAGCCTCTATAACAACTCCAACCACCTCTGTATGGTATGGCAAATGTGTTATGTGCAGACTGATTAAAATGTTGAATTGATGAATTTATTATAATTTACAGTTGAGCACACACCTCTTGCCCTTTCTTGTATAGAATCTATCCTTGTGACATTTATATAAATAAGACATTTGAATAGTATATCATTTATAGCCTTGATTTGGGTCAAACTTGTGAGTGACTGATGATTACACGAGTGGATGGAAGCAGCTATAAAAATATCAGAAACAACAAAAACAATGTGTCATTGCCTGTAATTTACCATCTCTTAAATCCCCCCCCCAAAAAAAAATATTTAAAGCCTGTGATCCACACTCTTTTCCCCACAAACATCATTCAAACATGTCTGAACATACTGCTGTCATTTCATTTCAGCACCAAGGACAGCTCTGTGGGTCATGAGCTGTTATACAGCCACAGGGAGGACGTGTGTGTGTGTGTGTGTGTGTGTGTGGCACTGACAGGCACACACACACACACACACACACACACACACACACACACACACACACACACACACACACACACACACACACACACACACACACACACACACACACACAGTTTTTTTCACAGTGTTCACAAATATTTTTTATGGTTATAATGTATATGAGGCACAACCATGGAACATTTCTGAACTGGTGAAAAAAACAAAAAAAAAATAAATTCAGTGTGGATTGAACTTTGAGCTCTTTTTAACACTGATTATACGTTATATTTAATGCTGTCAAGTGCACTTTCACATATGGTAGTACAAAAAGAAACATATTTCTGACTCTGGTTACTGCTGTTCTCAAAACATGCTCTATCACAAAGGTATGAACCGCTGTGTGTGTGTGTGTGTGTGTGTGTGTGTGTGTGTGTGTGTGTGTGTGTGTGTGTGTGTGTGTGTGTGTGTGTGTGTGTGTGTGTGTGTTTCCTTGCGTCACAAGCGATGAAACCCAACACATCAGTTCAAACATTGCTGGGAAAGCCCTCGGACACAACGCACACACAAGCCAATCACCCTCATGCAAGGGGACTGTGTGAACCCCTGGTGTGTACTCTGGCAGGTGATAGCACAAGCAGCAGATCCTTTATCCTTACCTGTACATTAAACAAGCAACAGTTGCAAGGTGACTTGACAGTGACAATGGAACATGCAAAGCCGTGAAAAAATCCACTGCCTCATACTTTTTAAAGTGAACCACTAATAGTATTTTCAAACAGGTAGATTCACCTGAATTAAAAAAACAAACAAAAACAAGCAGTTGCAGCCAATAGCTCCATTGAAACCTGCTGACTATGAGACTTTACAGAAATGCAGCAGAATTGCTTATATTTGGGAACTCACACTTTAAAAGGTGAAATTTCCTGGTCCTGAATCTCTTACACTCAAACAAATTCAGGTACTGTTGCATTAAGTACGTCTTACATTAATGCTCTGAACCTTCTCCTTACTTTTTAAATATGTTGTTTTACTACTTAGCTCAAACGCCAAATATAAAGGCATTTCAGTCTAGTTCATCGTCTGATCTCACCACTTCCAACGCTTTTTAAATGTTTTTCTTCAAGCTATCAGCCACTTGCTGATACACACAGACTACAAGATATAAAGTCCACTTATACTCACTCAGACAAGTTATCATGATGGGTTCATTTGATAATCTAATAGAGCTCAAAACACACCTTTCCATCTCACAAAAAACAATTAGCAAATCCTTAAAATCTGCTGATCTCTGCCATCACATATTCACATTGCTGTCATTTTCACTCAAGCTCAAAAGGTATGTTGTGTTATATACAACATATAACAGAGAATCCCAATGTTACAAATACAATTTGTATACTATTAATCATTATTATCCAGGGCCACTCACCAGTTCTTGGTTCGTAGAATTGGAGTCATCCCCAGGGAAAGGAATGTAGATGGCTAAGGCCACACAGTTTGCAAATATAGACAATAGTATAAAGATATCAAATGGTCTGGAAAGAGGAAAAACTGTTAAGGAAAAAATGTATCTCAAGTTAGGAAAATTCTAGTTTAACTGGATAAAGTCACATGGCAAATTGATAATCATTAAAAGAATAAAAGGAAGGCAATTCAATGTTCCTGATAATAATGAAAGAAGGACTAAAGCCTATGTGGCAGCATCTAAAAAGTTACTTCGCTACATTATACTTGTAAAAAAAAATGGAGGGACATTTTTCCCATTTTTTATAGTCCTTTTTTTTCATATTATACATTAATTAATTAAACACTCACTGTCACCTTTTTATGAAGCTATCTATCCATACAATAAATCCAAGTCTTTCAATCACTCAAGCATCTGTCATTCAGAGCCTCTGTCTGTTTGCTAAAGGATACTTCCACTCCACCAGGCTGATGCAGGCCCTGCGGATCGGGTTGTTTAATGTTAGGCAGAACAGAGCTCTGGGTGGCCTGCTGTTGGTAGAGCCTCCCTGCTTTTTGCTTTTGGCATACTGCTGTCTCTTCCTCTGCGCCAGAGAGCCCACAGGAGCTGATCCAGTGGTGCAGACTGAGGGCTGTGTTTTCATGTCGGGCTTTGCACCATCTCCCTTTGCTTGGCGAGCAGCATTAATGGCAGCATGCCAAGCAAGGACCGGACTGACACCAGAACTAGTGGCACTTGGGTCCTGAATGTCACTATCAGCCCCCAGGAGGCCATGAGAGGGGCCGACAGGCTTGCCAGTGCTGGATGGGGCCTGCAGGGGGTCCAGTGAATGGAGCTGGTGCAGTTGGGTGTTGCTTTCTGACCAGAGCTCAGAGGTTTCATTGGAGTTTGTTGTCCTTTTGTTGCTGGCATACTGTGGCCCTGAGGAGAGAAAGTGGGACAAAGATATCAATGTATATGACATTTTCAGACGGTGAGAGCGAGACTGCACAAAAGATAACTTGCACAAATCCTCTTTAGTGTTGTCACACTGACATTCAGCAGTTTTAGCAATAACTTTTCAAATTACAGGTGTCGTATTCTAAAAAACATACCTTTTTGTAAGCTTTAGAGTAAGCCTATGAAATCGTAATATTACATCTTCCTATTATGTTAGATATTATCTAATCAGAAAAGAAAATGTCAGTGTCTTCAGCAGGAAAAAAACATGTTATAATAGGAGTGTGTGTGTGTGTGTGTGTCCCACATAAAAGTTATTCCATGTAAAACTTTTACACTGGATTAAAATGTAGCTAAACGGTCCACTATGATAAGAGAGGATGAAATTGAACTTGAATTGATTGTCTTAAATGTAGAAATAATCTGTGCGGAAGAATGAGATGATGAATTAGAGAAAAAGAAGGAAAAGTAGGAATGAGAGACAGTGGATAGAGAGAGAGAGAGAGAGTCATTAAAATCAATAGGAACCATGGATAAAAAAGACAGTGCCCTTGAAAGAGTCACTGTGGTTCACTGCATCGCCACAGCAGAATCAAATCAACGACAACTGTAACAAAGCCAACCAAAATGTCCTGCCCTCTTTAAAAAAAAAAAACACACTGAGCTGATTAAAATCAAAGTCACAGACGATTTCAACAAACACGAAGCCTCATTTCATAGACTGAGGAAGAACAATATTTAAGACGACTAATGGAAAGGAATATGAATTGTTGTTGTGGGGGGGGGTTCAATTTATGACGGTTTCTTTTTTTTTATGTCAATAACACTAAAGTTTGCTTTTACATAACCAGCTTCTTGCCAGTCCAATCAAAAAGATTAGATACGACGAAGAAAGGTTGATATCAGCAAAAATTCAAAGTTTGATCTGAATGAGCCGACACTCCTCGTTCCAGATTGTAACAGGTGCAACAGGTAATAAAGGGATTCAGATGAAAGTTGATGGATCGTCTCTCAGTTCATTCCGGGGATGGTACGAATCTAAAGCACAAACTGTATGGATTTAAAATGACCATTTAAATAAGTTAGCCTACCAATAGCCAATAGCCATGCCATTTTACAGACAACTCGATTCCCAATGGAATTGCCGACTGCTTTCATTAGCCTACTGTCATTGTCATTTTAAAATTATACTCATTCTGTGGTCTGAAATAAAGTGAAGCATGTCGATTTATAACACATCACACAGAGTTTAGAGACTCCAGAGAATAAACCAAACGGACGCTCTCGCCCCATCTCTCTCTCTCTCTCTCTCTCTCCCTCTCTCTCTTTCAGCGCTGTAACTCTGCTCCTTTGGTTCACTCACGCTTTTTCATTTACCTTCAGACTGAACATCTGCTTCTTGCATTCTCGAGTCCACATCGAAAAGATCCGTTTTAAACCCAACTCATCGTTGGAAAAACGATTCCAAGGCGTCGACGCGCGAGCCTGAGCCGAGCTTTTAACCTGAATTATAAAATGTTTGCCAAACGTAAATCCTGACAGGCGCGCCACACATTTTCGACACATCCGGGTGCCTGCCTGCAGATTCACCACGGATCTGAGAGGAGGAGAGATGATCGCAGCAGTAAATCTACTCTAGTGTGTTGTTCTCTCTGAAGCCGGGGTCAAAATAAGCAGTGGCGGGACTCTGAGCAGTCACCGCCTTCGATAGGCTACAATTTGATCACATTCAAAGTGGAAATGCACCTGTTGACGCCCACTCAACGTCAAAGTGGCTACGCTTATTCAAAATGTCAACTTTCAAATATGTCCCAGCAGGATTAAAACATTTTTACGAATGAACAACGATTTATCCTAATTGAAGAACAAATAATAAAAATTGTAAAATTAAAAAGATAGGCCACTAGTAAAAAAAAAAAAAAAACAGCAACAGATAGGCTATATTGAAAGATATGTCAAGGCAACATCTACGGTATTTTTTGTCCTTTAATGAATGCTGAAATGCATTACGCTATAACAATACCGTTGAATGCAAAATAAATCATTTAGATCACTGAAAATTCGCGATCACTGTAGGTAAGTATGACTTTCTCCTGTAAGGATAATTCTGGATTGGAAGACAAACACCATGACTCCATCCTATCCATCCAGATAAGCCCCAAGAGTATTCCAGGTACTCAGACTTACCCCTCAGGGGTCTTCCCCTTATAATGAACGGCATTCTGTCACCTGGCTCTTCTCTGAGGCCTCATTGCGCCGACTTCTGCCCTCACTCCGGGGAGATTCGAGTTGATATAAAATGTAGGAGCTGCGCTGGAAGGTTACCAGTGATTGGATTACCTGTGCCTCTTATGGAGGATAACAGTTTCACAGTGGCGCGTAGCCTAATCCTCCGATTATAATCCTTGCTCCAATGTTCCCTGTGAGGAGGGGTGGGGCTGAGGCAGGCAGCTATACAGCTCAAGTAGACCACATAACATTCACCTAATTGTCTTATCAAATATCAAATATGCTGTTTAATAATATTATATTGTAAACAACCAAAGTAGCCTATACTGCATGATTGACACTTCAAGGACACACTTCAATGGGGGCTGGTCCAGGGGTAGCCAGGGGTAGAAAGCAAAATCCTTATGAATGATTGGCTATTTGACGATCAATTACTTATGTGAAAAAATCCACTATCTGGACTGTTATGATGGCTGCTAGTGGTTTTCTTTGCATTTCAATGTAGAACTTTTCCTTTTGTGAGTACTGCCAATGGATAGGCCTATATTAGAAAAATATTTTTAACCCTAATAGAATTAAAGGTGCACTTTGGAGTTTTGGTAGGGAAATGTGGAAATTTGAGAAATTTACAGATTATCTGGTATATGTTTATAACGCCATACACAAACTGTCCTCAGAGGAAAATTTGGTCCATGGAAAACAGTTTGAAGATGAAATGTTACACGAGAAGTGATGGTGGGGGGCCGCAACAGTGAAACCGTAACTCTCCTGGATGGATTTTTTTAAAGCTCTAAACGGTGGGACCCATTTTTTTCATTTGAATAAAGTTGTGTATTTAGTTCAGAAAATTTAGCATAGAATTGTTTCACTTCTACAACTTTCAAATTTCACTACCAAATCTAGTGCACCTTTAAGCTTAGACATGTTGACACTCTGTTGTGTTACATTTCAAAGTTAGTAGATTTTGTATGCAGGACACTTAAATGTTATGAGTTGACGTGTATTATTATTGCAGATAGAAAGGGTAAATAATGCCCCTCATCCATGTGTGTCAACATTAAACTTCATGCCACCCCTGCATAAGTCAGTGACCTGGTTTGGCCGCCATAGTCAAGCTAGCCCTGCCACTACTTTGACATCACTCTACCATTTATATTTTTGTCATTAACAGTGTCATTGGCTAGTCAGGACTTAAATGTGGGCTACCCGCTAGGAAACACTGGAGACATTGACCATATTTGCCTATAATCGATATCCTGAACCTGTAATAATGACACTGCCTCACTACAGGTTCAAAAGTGGAATGGAAAAAAATGCCTGTATAGCTAACACTACTATTACCATTTATCTTTATCTGCCAATCTTCTGTGACTTATTGGCTTTGGTATGGAAGGTAGAAAGGAAGGTAAGTTATTTGAGCTGAACAAAACTAAATAATTAATACAACTATTACAGACTCTTGCTGCAACTACATGTATTTCAGTCTTGTTTCTTCACTTAAAATGAAAAAAAAAGATGAGGATCTAAACTGAAGTTCAGCATCTTTGGATGATCCCCTGTAACAATAGGAGGGATCTCCTTGTGAGGTTTGCACTGAGAGGTTTCCCTCAAGAGATCAATTACTATCAAGGTAGGTCAAGGAAGACTTTGATGTTGGTGGGCTTGGCTAACGGGAGCGCTGGGTGGTGAGTGCTGTCAGGTGTCATGACAACCACGACTTCAGTTTACTTGTGTAAACAAGTTGTCTGCCAGAAGTCAGGGTGGGTCTTGTCCAGTCAATGACTCGGAAGGATTATGGCAGACAGATGGCGGGCTAACTCGACAGGGCAGGGTATTTGACAGCATTGCAGGCTGGTTTCAAGCATGACAGCAGCCAATGAAATTAGGTGAAGCAGGTTGCTAACTTCCTGACCAAAGCAAGGCATTGTAGGTTAACAGACCAAGGTTTAGACTAGAGGCTCACAAGTTGCAGGCTATCCAGTTCAGAAGTAGACTAAATCCCAGCAGCCAAGTGCAAATTGAAGGCTAGAAACCTGGGGCTAAAGCTAGGGCTGACAACAAGGAACCTTGGACTTAGATAGGTGAAGAGGAGAAAGTGATTATTTTACTTTACCATGTTTGACTTTATTAGATAAAGAAAAGTGTCAAGAGAGGGGACAACAGGCAGATGTATCAAACCTGAGGCTGCTGTTGTAAGGACTAACCATTGGGCACACTCACGCAGATAAAATCATCCTGCATGCACAAACAAACCTCAATTAATCAATCCATTAAAAAATGATGTAAGGATGTAAAGAATTAAAGAATGGTTATAAGGAAAAGCAATTCAAGTAAGGGTATGAAAGTATTTATCTGACAGGTACACCGGTGATGGTACACCTCAAGTTATCATTGTGAGTCCTTTGTTATTTGCTTTGTTGATTAATCAAATGCAAGAAGCTGTTAAAACAGAAGAATTATCTTTTAAGTGGGGGTTGAAATTACCAGAACACAAGAAAAATAAAATATTCTTTACAAGGAACATTTTGGCAAGTAATTTGTCATTCAATTTATATAATAATAAATAATTTGAGAGGGTGAAAAAATGTAATATATCTAAGTGTATGGTTTGATGAAAGACACACATGGACTGTATGTACAGTATTCATAATATATAGTATAATAAAGGATTGAATGTTATTAAAGGCCTATTGGGAAGTCCTTGGGGATATATAGAGAGAGCAGCTGGGCTGACTGAAAAAGGACACAGTGCCACCCATTCAACACATAATGCGCATACCATTTTGGAAAAAGGAGAAGACGGAGATGAGAAAAAAACATTGTTTGGATAGACAATTGAGAAGAAAGCAGAAGAACTAGAAATCTGGGACCATTAAAAGCAATTATAGGTTCAGAACATCTACTATTTAAGCAGACCAGATATTCCAATAAAAATTCACCACACAATGTACAGAATCCAAATGATGAATATTTGTATATATGCCAGCACATGTTGGGATGCAAGGAAATTAAATTGCTGACAAACGTGCAAAATAAATTACAATAACAGTACCATACAGACAGTACAACAGATGTGAAGATCACAATCCAAAAGAAGATAAGGGGAAGGTGCCAAAGCAGAGGGACGAGGAAAGAACAGGAAGCTGGATGTACAGAATACACAATCACAGTTTTAAATTAGATGTTTTTCAAAATAGGGAACATCCAGGAAGCTTTGGAATATGTTATAATTCCCAGTCAAAACTATGATGCTAAAAGAATTGAACTGATACAGAGACCGAAAGGAATTTATGGGGCCTTACTTTATTTAGAATTTTAAAAAAGTATATAAGTGTTACAGATGTGTATTTTTCTCACTATCTTAGAAAGATGGATTTGATTAAAAAAATATATATATTTACTTTTAAGTGTATTAATTAGTATGAATTAGTATTAGTAGTGAATTCATAGCTCCTGATTCACACTCCGTACCAGTTGGGGGCGGTAATGTACCAAGTGTTATTCGCCAGCCGTCATAGAAGATCAAGAAGAAGAAGAAGAAAAAGGAAGTAGACGAAGAAGAACCACAACAACAACAACAACAACAATCCAGGATGGAGACCGTAAATGCTGGAAACACGATGAGTTTAGCAGCTCTACAGAGACAAGACCCGTACATTAACAAACTGCTAGATGTTACCGGCCAGGTGGCTCTGTATAACTTTAACTCCAAAGCGAATGAATGGGTAGGTTTGTCAGAACACCCGAAAACTTTCTCACATAGCTTTCAAAGAAAGCTAAGTATACACCTATTGCTAATGCTAATGCTAATGCGTGTCCCTCAATCACAAACATTCAAGCGTAAAGTCGTATGTTCATTTTTATGAAATGATCATTCAACCATATAAATCAAAAGACACGCTGATGTGATAACGGTGGAAAGTTTCATAATGATAAAGGGGCACACATAACACTTTAGAAGTAAAAACATATAGTACGTACGCTAGCGTTGACATATGTTGTTGTGTAATAATTCAGTAAACTCTGCACAAGTGATTCAACTTTTTAACACATTAAGTTCTTTATCATTTCAGGAGAAGACCGACATCGAGGGGACTCTGTTTGTTTATGCGAGGTAAGCATGTGGAAGGGTTAATCATTTAATACTAGAATTATTACATTTGTTCACTTGGTTTTCGTTTGTTTTCGCCATTATTTGATTTAACTTTATTAAGCACAAGTTTAGGCCTCAGTCTTTCTAAACAAACCATATTGCGTTTTTTTCTAAAGGTATATTTACTGCCTAGTAAATAAAGTAGATGTTGATTAGGCTTCTTGTTCTGTACTCATAATCCCTGGTTTTAACACCGAAATAAGATGATAATCAATACATTTTTATTTGTCAATTCATAGCTTATGTGATCGCATGACACTTTACAAAAGAGTAGGTAAGATCTAAGGCCTTGGTGACTGTCAGCAGATTTTAGAACGAGTGAACAAATCTATTTTTGAGTTTGTCTTAACTTTTCATCTTCCTGTCTTGTATGCTCACTTGAACTGTAGCTTTGAGAATAAACTCTTGAAGGATTGAGTCAACGGTGGGCAAAATAGTAGGCAAACCTCAAAAATCTCTGTCTCAACTATATTCTGATAAGAGAAGGAAGAAAGCGAGGAGTAGCCTATAACCAGATAACTCACATCCTCTATTCTGCCAGCTTGAGCCTCTGAGCTCAGGGAGGCGCTATAGAGTCCCTCTGGCAACTAAAAATGAAAGTAATTTATCCACAGAACAATAAACATTTTTAACTTTAGACAATAACTGATGAGATCCAAACAATGACATACTGTTTTTATTGTTGTGTACATTTAGCCCCTCTGTTTGTCTGTCTTATTGACTGCCTGAATGTTTTTATGTTCCTATGTGTATCTGGAGAGCCTTAGGCAAATTTCTACCTCTGGTGGACAATAAAAACTTTTTCTATTCTATTCTGAAGATACCTATTTGCCTTTTGCTCTACGTTTGTTGTCTTTAAGCCCCATGGTGAAACTAAATAACCTAAAAGACACCAGCACTCAAAACTAATTTTAATATCGAACTAACTAATAAATTATTATATTGCATTTGGCGATTTGTTTTTCAGTAACGTTTTTGTGATCTTGTGGTCTAAGGTCAGCCTCGCCTTACCATGGCTTCACCATCATGAACCGCCTAAGCACGGAGAACCTGGTGGAGCCGATCAATAAAGACCTGGAATTTCAGCTGCAGGATCCTTTCCTGCTCTATAGGAATGGCAACTGTGAGTCCATTGTTCAATAAAAGCCCTCAACCTGTAGATATCAAACATACTTTGAGTTTAGAGATATTTATGAGCACAACATAATTTCAGATTATTGTGCTGTGATCCAATGTGTTAGGCATCAAAAATATGTCAAATATTCACATTGTTAAGAGTTAAGAGCTGCATGTGAGCACCACACAATCTCTGATGATTTTTAAGAATCTGCTAAATGTTTTTTTTTTTTTAAAGTATATATATATATATATATATATATATATCTGTTTATTTTGAGGCAAATGTTTTTAGATTCACACTTGGTTTCTGAATTTGAGTTTCTGTTCACCTAGAGCAAAACACGACTCTAACAAAGGTGAGTCTGTCAAAGAAATGTTTACATGTTGTGCATACTTCAAAGCAGACAGCCGTTAACAAACAACCATCTCACACACACACAACACACACACACACACACACACACACACACACACAATAAGTAAAACAGAACATTATGTACCTCTGAATATGCCGAAAAAATATCTCCCCAAGGTTTTCCGGAACATTTCTTTTCCTCTGTGCTTGAAGTGGTTTTGGCATCTTGGAGGTGCATTTATCAAGAAGACTTCATCTGAAGAGCTTTGATCAGTCATGTCCTCACACAGGGCCAAGCAGACAGCAACAGTTTAAACTTGGTTTACTCACAGTAGATAGTATTCTTTTTCGGCTTTTCTTTATCGATTATGAATTTGATCTGTATTTTCTTACAAAAGTTTTTATTTTGCGGATGGTTTTCCCTAATGAGTTGTCAATGCTGCCTAGCCTTATGGAAATAGTTGAACAGGATGTAGGAGAAAAAAATGGAAGAAATTATGTTATTCGTCAGATCTTCAGGAAGTGGCTGACGGCGCTTCCACAGAGGTAATCTATTACAAGTCTGAACACAAGTTTCATCACAGCAACAAATAAGGAATTAGAATGTTTTCCCATTTGTTTGCTTATAAGAAAAAAGAGCATGGCCAGGGTCAATGTCACTGAAGACTGCTCCCCCTTAGGACTAGGTTTGCCCGTCAGCATGGCTGGTATGGAAGACATGATGTAATTTCTTGTTAGCGGTTTTGTCAGAGCAGATTTTGCAGTAGTTTCATATGTGTTGAAGTGCTGCTGCGAGCAGGTTGGGTGCAGACTGATGAAAGGAAATACTTTTTTTTAGCCAGTAATATGCATCAGCATTTGTAGGAGACTTTTCCCAGAAGAGGCAGAGTCACAGTCCAATCTGGAAAAACGGGATGCAGGTGATTATCTCTGACAGTATCGTCCCCTGTTTTGTTTTATTCCAGTGCTTCTTTTTGACTGCTTGTCTTTGTTCATTCGAGGTCCATATGTGCTCTTCAGTCATGCATCCTACTGCCTGACTATCCTTTGGCAGCACAGAGACAATAAAGGTCCGCCTCACTGTACTTTTCTGTGTTTGTTTGCCGTTGGGCTCCTGTGAAGTTGTGGTTAGAAGCTAGAAAGAAGAATTAATTCTTGATGATTTTAAGTCACCTTCCTCTTCCGTGAAGCAGGACAAGTACAAATCAAAAAAGATGAGCAAAGGCTGGAGAGAGAGGGAGGTTTGATTGAAGAAGCAGAAGTCCGACAGGGTGAGGCCACATTCCTCAGAGAGATGCAGATCATTTACGGTTATTATTATTAAGCCTTTTGAAAAACTGGTGAGCTCACTGCCTTTCTAACAACTGAACTCATACTTAAAGAGTAAAGAGTGCTGTTCAGAGAGACCTACTGTATGTTCTTATTCAGACACACACACACACACACACACACACACACACCTGTTTACACCCATCTATATTCCCCTTGGTATCTCTAGGTGCTGCAGAGAGACAAACACTCAGGTTGCTAGGATCTCTGCGTCCCTATGGACCTTAAATATACAAGTGTTTCATCACACAGCTACACACACACACACACACACACACACACACACACGCGCGCGCGCGCGCACGAAGATACAATCAGTGTATAATTTAAAACCTTTCGTCTCAGCAAAGACTACTGACAAATACTATTTTTGGGCATTTTTGACAATCTGTTAATGATGGTTTAATGTTGGGAGCCTAATGATCCATTCTTTTAAGCACAAAAAGTCTCCTACTTTATAATTGCAGATGACATTTTCATTGTTAACTGATTTAAGCCCCCCTGAATATACAAAGGGGCTCAAATGACCTTAGGAATTAGTTGCAAATATTCAATAATTTAGGCAAAATGTATAATTGACACTTTCGCCGATAACATAATAGTAAACAACAATTTCATATTCACTTCATATAGCACCTAGGCAGGTTGACATGTAGATATACTGATGTCAAACTTATAATAACAGGAAATGCGCACATTTAATAAAATATCCAGTTATTGTGGCGCTGGTGGCCTAGCGGTTAGTGTGTGCGCCCCATATACGTAGGCTATTGTCCTCCAAGTGGGCGGTCTGTGTTTAATTCTGAGGTACAGCTTTGATCAGAGGTAAGTCGAGCTGAGGGAGAACACTGGAGCGACACATTTCTTCAAGCTGTGTGGCCAAGTTGTGTTTAAAATGTCATCAACCCCGTTATTAAAGTAAAAGATATCATGTACTGTATTTGTGTTCTATTTGCAGTGGGTATCTACAGTATTTGGTTCTATGACAAGAGGGACTGTCAACGCATCGCTCAGCTGATGGTCAAGTAAATAGTCATTTGATTTCTGTTTCTGTGTTTGGATGAGATGGAGGATTTCTTTACGGTTAGCTACCGAGACTTGTTGTTTGCTTCAGAAGATTCAAAATTACATTTTAATTCACAATTGAGAAGCATGTTGCGAAGACTGAATTTGACACTTTCATTCTCCATTAGGATTGTGAAACAAGAAGCAGACCTTGCCAGAAGAGAGTCGCCAGAGAGTAACATCTGTGTTGCAGAGCCACGGTCCTTAGACATCCTGGAGCTGCTAAGCAAAGCCAAGGAGGAGTACCAGAGAGTGAGGAGACAAATGCACACGCTTACAGACGCAAGATGAACAAACACTATATAGTAAACACAACATTTCCTAAAATTGTCTGAGTGAGCAGCATGTGTAAACTCACACACACATTTTTCATCTCAACTTTATCTGGAATGTTTCCGGTCAACACACTGATGAAAGTAGGCACGAAGTTGTGCTGAGCCAATATGTGAACCCTGCAGATCATAGTCAGGAGGACTCACCGGGAGCAAGTGGGAAGGGGTGTAATGTTTACATCATGCTACCGGGGAGAAACCGGTCTTCAAGCATGTAATGAGGCTGCTTCCTAATCTTTTCTGCTTGCCAGTATTTTCTTTTCCACTCTTTTGTTGATAATGTGATATGTTGGCTTCTGTAAAAGCATGTACATGAGGTCTGACTTTTTCCACCTCTGTCTTTCTGCTTCTGTTTGCGTCCTGTGTCATTCAGGCTCAGGAAGGTGAAACGGATGCCTCTGCAGAACAGAATGTGAAAGCAGCTATAATTGCACCTGAACAGGTTCCCTGCAAAGTACCACCTGAAAAGGTAGATACACAACACAAACATGGATGTTTGAAAAAACTTGTGGAATATCTTGCTGTCCCCCAGAAAAAGAAATCAGAAATGTGTGGCCTGTTTATTCAGTGCTTACTTTTAGAACAATCAAAAATGATTAAGTGGGCCTGCACACAACTACTGCCTCCGGGCAGTGTGTAATGAGTGAGTGGTTGAGCAAGTGAGAGAGTGGAAGGGAAAGGAGCAATGAAGTTGTCCTACTGGCACTGGGTACATATTTGACATTTTATCTGATTCTGGAACTACCTTTTCTGATCGGACTACAATTAAGGCGTTCTTTGGAGCACCCCTTAATTGTATCTAAAGAAAGCTGTCTCTCTCCCCCCACCCCCCAACCCCAGAGCTCTTCTTTAGCGTCTAGGGGCACTCAGGCCACAGGGTTGGAAACCAATGCCCTAGACAACCGTCTATAGCGCCGCTGCCTTGAGCCAACTGTGCTGGCTATAAAACTGGTTTGCAAATAGACAGCTGTAATACTTATGTAAAAAATCTGTAATATTTATGTGTGATAAAGGATGGTGTAGATATCACATCAACAAAGCTCTCACAATTGTCATGTGAATTTTTGCTTCATTACATTTTTTGGTCATTAACACATAACCCCACAGATGATCCTCAATGATTTGTGTGTGTCTTTTGCGCCACTGCTTTTTTTTTTTTACCAACCAGAGCTCTCATACGATGGTGAAGCAGATCACTGTTGAGGAACTTTTTGGCTTATCCCTGCATAAGGACCTTTCTTCAACCACCACATCTGTCCAGCCCACTACCAGTGCTTCTAGTGACCCTCAACTTCATACCTCCAGAATCACTCCAATTCCACTCCAGCCCATCAAAACCCACTCCCCAATCCCCATCTCCCAGCTCCAGATGCCCGGTCAAATCAGCAACACCAAGCCCCCAGCCTGCTCCCAGCTCAGTACGCTATACACCCCAACCCGGTGTTCCCCAGAGTGCCACTGGCAGCGTGTACAACCTACATGGGAAAGGAGATACTCGGCACGTTAAAACCAGCAGCCCCGTCTGTAAACATTGACATCCATAAACAGATCATTGCACCAAACATTCTGCCAAGTGCGCTGTTCCCACCAAACAGCTTTCAGGAGCCCATAGGAAAACCCCTTCTCCAGCACGTCAAGAAGATGGATGTTTTTTCTCAGCCTTCAAACCTAATCAAACCGTTGTCTGTGAGTTCAGCTGTTTTTCTTTGTAGCAGTTTTATCAATCTGTTTGCAGCCTGTAATAGTCTGGTCTCTATTTGATATGTTTAGATCACAAAAGATTAGATGGAATTACATCATTTAGCTATTTTTTATGTCCTATGTTCTCTCTTTGATTCTCCCTGTCTTTTTCTTTCTTATAGACTGTGCCCATGAGTCCAGATCTGGCCTGCGTGGGTTCGGAGATTTCTGTGCTTCTTTCCCCCAGTGCTTTCCAGCAGTCCATCAATAAGACAACATCAGTAACATCAGGGGTCCCTCCTGCACCTGCTGAGCCCTCCTCCTCCTCTGTAGGTGTTGTAGAGCCTCCAAGAGCCCCCTGCAGCAAGACACTATTACAGGAGACTCTTCTTCATCTAATTAAGGTACACTTGGCATTATGGTATGAATAAGTCTTATCTAAAGCTGCTGTACATTACTTTACAATTCCATTTTGGAAGAAAAAAATGTCATATGTATGGGTAAACACTTAATATTTTAAGTGTAATTATTAAATTATCGCATCAATTCTATTAACAGAGTAATATCACATACAACCAGATAGAGATACAAACATAGCTGTGCTCTCTCATTAGTGATGTTGTTTTTTAAACTATGCTGTTTTTTTGCCATTTGCCTGAGTTGCCAAAAGGTCAAATGCAGTGCTGATGAAAAAATAGCATTTTGAAAAACACAAAAAAAGGCTGAGTTCCTGAGGTTGGTTCCTCTGGTTATAGAATTTCTGGAGTATCTGGGTTGATTAAGGCCAGCTTTTAAAAAGGGTCTGTCTCTCTGCCTCTGCTCCAATATAGTAGAAGTGAATGGAACTCTATCTGTGGTAATTAGAAAGCAAAGTGTCATTCCATACCAAGTATTCTTGTTACCAAGAGTAATCTACAGACCACTCAGTAAGTACTGTCTAGTTAGGGCCTGAGCACCACATGGTTTCCTCGGGCAAGACACTTAACTCCAAATTGCTCCTGTTGCATACACAAACATGTATGAATGGGATTAGTTACTTCTGATGGTCACTTCACACAGCAGCCTCTGCCATCAGTGTGTGAATGTGAAGGTGTGACCTGCATTGTAAACGTGCTTCGAGTAGTCAGAAGACTAGAAAAGTGCTATACAAGCTCAAGTACATTTTCGAGTTACCCTATTAGAATAAAAGGAATTCTTATTCTCCCTTTGTCCAAAGGAGCCACATACAGTATTTTAGTGGCTTTAGCATATCTCAGAACTTTACAGTTACACAGGGATCACACAACGCATCAGACCCTGCAAAAAAATCTATATTTTATTGGTTTTGCCAATATGGTGACACCCCCCCTCAAATGGGGTCACCATAGAGGTTACTTCCAACTACATGTTTGAATTTTAACTTGAATTAAACTTGATTTTCCATATTCGAAACCTAACAGGAAGTTAACTATTTTCATGATCCATATCGTAAATGGACTTGGACTTGTTTAGCACTTTTCTAGTCTTCTGACTACTCCAAAGGCTTATACGCTATATGTCACATGAACCTATTCACACTACCTTCACATGCTGGTGGCTGTTGCATAATGTGCCCAGCAGTACAGGTTCACATGCCACTGGCGTAGCAGCAGGAGCGATTTGGAGCTCAGTGTCTTGTCCAAGGCCTTTCCTGAATATTTTTCTGCTTTATTCATGTCAAGGTCTCAAACAACTTCTATTTAAGCACAACTCTTATGTTTGACCTGTAAGATACAATATATCAACAGTTCTGCATGTGTGTTGTGAATAAATCACACTTCCTTACAATTTTAGAATTTGAAATACGTGCTTCTTGCACAATATGCAGTTTTTAAAATCCCAGAACATTATGGATTGCCCTTTGTGTCATGCTTTTGGGGTCATTAGACTTTGCTCACAGTCATCAGCAGAGCAGAGCGGCTGGAGCAGCCAAAAGATCGGATTGGCTGTCTTGTGTCTCACTGCCCTTTGTTTCCTTTACCCTTCTCCACTTTCATTACAGTTAGTTCTGTGGATTGTGGTCATTTTGAGACTCCGTTGGTACTAAAGTTTGTCATGCTGCATTCTCTGGACATTATCATAGGCAAATCCAGTAGACGTTACCCCCACCCTGCTATAAACACACTCACAGGCAGTCACAAGGAGCGCTTTGTTCTGACTCTCTTGTTCACTTTCTTCCTGTCTAGAATGATGCAGATTTTCTTGGTGCCATTCACGATGCTTACCTGCAGACCCTGACAAAGAACTTCAGCAACATGAAAGTATAGCCATCATTAACCACCACATCCCGACTGTTTATTTCTCCTGAAGCCCATTCCAAAACCTGCAAGGAATCTACAAGTGAATGGATGTTAACAGAAATACAGATACATGTTTTTTTATGTACTCATCAACTCTTCACAAATAACTTATGTTCAGACAGCTGTTATGGCGTGCATTAGCACCTTGTCACTGATGCAGTCCTGGACACTCTTAATAACATGGATTGAATATGTTGAAGAGCAGGATGAGGTAAAACCTCACTGTGCAGACATGAGTATGTATTTTTTTTTCTTCATAACTATGATCAAACTCTCAGCCATAACACGTTTAACTGTTGCTGGTTCACTTGAGGATGGGACCACAGTTCAGCTTCTCTATCCTGGGACAGATATACAGTACTGGCATTGAACAATATTTGATTCAGAAACTCCACTTTCCCACTCAACTTACTCCCACAGCTTGCCAAGAAAGAAAATCAGTGCTGGGAACCTCAAACTCTTTCATTTGTTTTTACAGACAAGCTGAGTGCTCATTTTTCCTTTCCTGATTATTGGCAAATGTATGGCTTTCTGTGTTTATCAGTTTCACTTAATAACAAGAGAAGTGTTGGGTATTTTTTCACAACCTTCATCCAAGGAAGACGTAGAATTTCCATTATTTTTTTAAGCACTTGCAGCATAGAGATCGAACTTGTGGTATCAGTTTCTCCTGACTGGCTTTTTGTATTAATTAAGTTCTTCTTTTTCTTTGTCTGTGTCATTCCTCCGGCTGCTTAGCTTACAATACTTTGTTTTCTTGAAGGGGGAAAGTGCAATATCTGACTGTTGCAACGTCTTTAGCTATTTCAGCTTGATGTGATATTTGAGAACTACTCATTAATGCTTAGTTTATCTGATCCTCTGGGATTCTGCAACTCATTCACAATTTAAATAGCAACAAAAATTATATGAACTGTGTATTACTATAACATATGGGGAACTGACTGACTGATATGGTTATGTTTCATACCCACTGAGTTTATACCAGTAATCCAACCGTAACTCTTTTTTTTAAAGGTATTTTTTAGACCCCTGTTAAAGGTCACATATTATGCAAAATACACTTTACCATGTTTTTCAAACAATAATATGTGTCCCTAGCCTGTCTAAACCCCCCAACTATGAGAAAAATCCATCTTCTCCATCTTTTGCCTGCTCCACTTTTCAAAAAATGTGTGCACAAACAGGCCGTTTAGAGATTTTCCCTTCGTGACATCACAAAGGGCAGTAAACTCCTCCCCCAGATGGGTGACACTCCCACAGCTAGGTGTTTGTTCTGCCCTCAGTCTGCCTTCTCACTATAAACAATAGGGCATGGTGCAAGAAAGCCAGAGCCATATCCCCTTCCAGATAGGGGCGCGGTCAAATACACCTCATTTACATATTTAAAGGTACAGACACAGAAACTGCCTGTTCTGAGCAGGGCTGAAATAGACATGATCAAATACAGGATCAGAGTGGATTTAGAACAAGAAACTTAATAGACATGTTTCATGGAGCTCTTAGAACTTGTTGAAAAGGAGGATAATATGTGACATTTAAGTCTAATTTTACAGATTTGCAGACAAAGATAATTTAGTAATTTTCTTTTTTGCTGCAGGAACACAGAAGTACATCTGTCTTCTACTCATGACACTTTGACTGCTGATGTTGTTAGTTTAGTCTTGAATTTGGGTTTTATTTACATCTGGTAGCACTTTTAAATGTTTAAGGGAAAAAAAATGGCAAGTGTGATTTTCAAACACACAGCAGGCAACTAATGGATTTTTAATTTCAACTCATTTCAAATGCAGCTCTATTACAAACGTGATGACTTAAGGTCCAGATAGAAGACAGGTTCATTCAGTGTGTTGTCACAAAGTGTTCAGCACATACATGACCGTTAATGAAGTCAATAGTTAATGATAAATTATGAAAATTCCAGCTGAAAGATTTTCTTAGATTTGCTCCAATAATCTTAAACATCGGTCAGCTCATTGATAATTAGTCTGCTTATCGTTCAAATATATACATATATACTGTATATATAGATGCTTATATTAAATATCTCTATGAGCTCAGGTGACTTCAGGAAGGGTCTTTGGCAAACATTGGCAAATCTGAATCTTTTTTCCGTCTTCACAAAAGGAACATGGAACTGGAAACAACAAAGAAGCGATATTCATTTCATACTTTATACCTTTTTTTGATTGTGATACCATGAATTTGTGTTGCTCCTGCTATTTGAATGTATTTCACATTTATCAGCAGTGTTAGCCAGTGTTTTATTGTGACTTTCATTTTAATTTGAAGTCAGATCTTCATGCATTGTAGTGCCAGCTGTTAGCTACGTTTGGTTTTCTCTACATTGTTTCCTTAGTTTGAATTTTTAAGGCAAAAAAACAAATGTCATCAGGGAGCAAATCAACTGATGTGTGCACTCACCTGTACTTGCCCTGTTTTAATTTTTTATTTCAGAGAAGATCCTGCCAACACTCAAAGCATGAGTGAGGTTACAGAGACATGCAAGCGTAAATGATTGAAATACTGAGATTTTAATCCCAGACACATGTCTAAGAATACAACTTACTTTAACTAATTACTAAAATGTTACTTAATGGTTAGAGATATGATTTTGGGTAAGTCTTGAAAGCTACATTAATCATTTTTTAAATAATTCCCACTGTTTATATTTTACTTATTACGGCTACTTTGTGAAATTAAAGATTAAAAAATATGGTTGCATTTATTTTTGTTTATTTCTGCACATAGTTGCTGTTGTGTTTCTATCAGTTCTGAAATTAAGCTTCAAAGATTGAATGAGAATATGTTTTTTAATCTTTATGTTTTAATGGGATGATTTTCAGACTCAAAGCTGGCAAATAAAATGTTGGTAAAGAAACATGTCATTGTAATAATTTCCTTGCAGGCTTGTAAGATAGCCTACATGAGTCTGGAGAATAGCTAACTGCATCACACATTTTTCCCCAGACTGTGATTTGAATTTATTTTAGTAAAGGGAACAGAGTCAGTGCCTGTGTCTTACCACCAGATGTCACCAGGTGCTTACTGTTCAACTGTCGCACTCAGCTGCTCTGTGGATGTAACCCTTAAATCATTTATTTGTAAAAATGGCTGTTTTTGATGACAGCAAGAGAAAAACGTAGTCTCCTAAAATAAATCTTTTAAACTGGGTCATACCAAACACAAAAGGCAAACACAGGTGGGTTTTCACTGCTGCCAATAATCAGGTCTATGATAATGTAATTAAAGTCACAATACTGGTTATTGTGACCCTTACTCCTGCACATCGAAAAGCTTTAGCCAGAAGTTGCAGTAGATTGTTTAAGAAAGCACTTGTATTTTTACAGTTTTCTTCATCCGGATGTGTCAGTCCGTCCGTCTATCCATCCATTCATCTCGTTAAGGAAATATAGCCTAATATTTAGAATACATTGATGAAAATAAAATATATGGAATTAACCTTCAATAAATAGCCTACATAATACATTTAAATGAAATGGCTAGAAGAGTCCATCTCGTGATACCCTCGTCATCAAGATGACAGAGGGGCTGTGACTTTGAAAGCAAGCAGAATGTGCTGCTGCTTGTGAGAAACAGCAGCCATAGCCTTTATTTAAGACTACATTCAGCCCTGCACGCAGACTTTTGTCTAACCTGCGATGTTTTTCTGTGCAGGCTTTTTCTACAGCTGAACTTTGTCTTCTCAAGTCCCCTTGACTTAGGCCGTCAGATTCAATTTCGATCTGTTGAGGTTGAACTTGAGTGCCTAAGTGTGTTTGAGCGTGCGCTAAAGTGCGTGCGGCCTTATCCCCCGAGCCTTTCAACGATTGGCTGTGCTCATGCGTGACATGGAGTAGATACCCATAGGCTTTCTTTTTTTTTTTTTTTTAGCCCTACATTAGACATATTCCTAGACTTTGCTTGCAAACACGCCCCCCTCCCTCCCTCCATCGCCTCCTTCATCGTCATATCTAACACCACCGTCTTTTTAACCTCTGTCATCGTCAGTTGGCCACTCATCGTATTCATTCTCGGGGTTGCATACCTGGGACTTTTAACGCTTTAAACCATCAAACCGACTCGTGTTTGCTCGTCTTCGGTGCATCGGACAAATGGAGGACTATCATAAACCGGACCAGCAGACTGTGCAGGCGCTGAGGAACATCGCCAACCGGCTCCGGATCGAGTCCATTAAGGCGACAACTGCAGCGGGCAGTGGGTAAGAAGAGGAGGGGTGATGCCTAGGTGGATTTATTATGTAGATAGCCTAGTATTAAACAAAAAGGTGCTTTGTGTCCTTGGACTGTTGTTAAATTCATGTTGCGTTTACTGTCTCTGTAGAGGACAGAGTAAACAGATACAATGATATTTCCCGGAGGACTGAAACCAAAGCAGCGTTATATAACTGGACTACAGAATTATTATACTGTAGAAAATCAACGAGCCCGTCCGTAATGGTGTGTGCTTTAAAGGCAAGCTGAGACTGTATCAGGGGGAAACAGCAGTCAGTAGTGCCAACATGGGATTTATGCCCAATTTACGCGTTTTATAGAAATAAGTAATGTAGCCTAGGGTGCAAAGTTACATAAAGTACAGTAGGTGCCCGCGTTTAATATGTGAGAGGAATAACATTCTGTTTTACATTACTCATGCATGTTGAGCATGCAAATCAGCCCTTTCATCCCGTGAAAGATGTATTAAACATTTGTTGAATTAATATAATGAAGGTTGGGCATTGACTCCTGCCGCAGGTGCAAAAGTGTTTCACTCCCCTTTAACCCCTTGCGTACTCTCTGCTGCTGGGTTATGTCAGAGGCTGAGCTGAGGGTCTGTGCAGGATCCCTATGCATTCAGTGGTGCAGCTCGTTTGTGTCTTGGCAGGAAATTGGAATCGAGGAACACACGCAGGCCTACACGCTACTGCCGCACAACCGCACCTGCGTGCAGCTTGTTGCACATGTGGGGATAAGTTATTGGCGTAATGATGGTTAAAATACGGCCGAAAATTAAAATAGTAAAAGACTTGTATAAAGATCAAACGTACTGCAACCTTGTCCGGGACGGTATTAAAATCATCAAAATTAAAGTGACTGTCTCAATCCCCCAAAGCCAAAAAAACACACACCCAGGGTCTTATGAATTGGGGTGGCTGTGGCTCAGAGTCCTTCATCTCTCAACTGAAGTGATGAAGCTGGCATGAGTGGACTTCAGGGGTGACAAAGTGTTAGAAAAATCTACATTTGATTCCCACTTACTTCACCTTTATGTCATTTTCCTGACTGATTCATTACATTTGTGGGCTTTAGGTGTGCAGGTGGATTTGAGCCGAAGAAGCACATTTGAGTTTTTAATTGGATCTTTTTGTGTGTAACTCTCTCTCTCTCTCTCTCTCTCTCTCTCTCTCTCTCTCTCTCTCTCTTTTCCCCTCTCAGTCACCCCACATCATGTTGCAGCGTGGCAGAGATCATGTCAGTGCTGTTCTTTCACTCCATGAAGTATAGACCTGAAGACCCCCGTAACCCCAGCAACGACCGCTTCATCCTCTCCAAGGTAATACCTGGTAGAACAACCAGATCAACTTGTGTTGCCCTGGTGCATGCACTGAGACAATGCACACAGGAAACAAGTTAATATCTATAGTCTGCTTACATTTCCTTTATTACATGTTTAAGATGCTATTTATCATTAGATGTGCACATGTTGCCAATTTCAAATCTCAGGCATTTCTTTGTCAAAACTAATGCCTAGATCGACATGTACATACTTGAAATTACATTTATATTTGAGTTGTGGAAAACTTAATTTAACAGGAGGGCTATGCTTCCAGAAGGGTATGCTTCTACCTAAAAAAATAATGATAATTGAGAGACACTAAACATGGTTTTATAGCTCACTAAAAATGATGACAATTTTATAGATTAGGATTTGTGTTCTGGCAAATCAGACATACAGTATTTGATCTGTCACCTCTGCTTCCTTAGGGTCATGCAGCTCCAGTGCTGTACGCTGTGTGGGCGGAGACAGGCTTCCTAAAGGAGAACGAGCTCCTCAACCTCCGCAAGATCGACTCCATCCTAGAGGGACACCCTGTGCCGGTGAGGTGACATTCAGGCCTGCAGAGGGTTCTGCATTCAATGCAGACAATGGTCTGCAAACATTAATATAAGGATTTTTTTTACATTGGTATCTTTATGATTTTACAGAAGTTCCATAGCTTTATCATTACTCTGAGATCATATTGCAAAGCTTTTGCAACGACCCGCATGTGGTTGCCCATCATGCTCCTCTTGCAAAGAGCTTGTGTAGACTGAGGGAAAACGTTCTGATATGAGAATTTCAAATCATAATGCCACATGACAAGGACAATGTATATCATCAGATGTAACCAAAAGGAAAATGTCGGTTTTATTATTTCTGATTGAAGAACTTTGAATATTTTTCACAATGAACTTCAAAAATACAGTTTATTTTATAAAGATTTTCAACCGTGCTTCTCAACCTGGAAATGAGACCACCAAAAGGGGTTTAATTGAAATGTCACTAAATGTCAAGAAGGTGAAAAGGACAAGATAATTATATATTTCTCCAAGACAAAAAGGGCTTCAAACTTTTCTGTAATATTTGCCCTGAACCCTTTCATATTTTGGATAAATAGAGCCATTTAAATCACACAGTTTGTAAAAGATTTCACTGTATGCATATTCTGTACAAAACGTGTCACAACAAAAACACACCCACACACACATAACAGTCAAATGGAATGCAGGCAGGGACAGAGTGACAAAGATGTTCCTGTGTGACACAGATGCTCTGTCCGCAGTGCCTTTCTGCTTTGCTGTATGAAGAGACTGTGTTCACATTAATACTGAAACACTGCTAGACACGTTATATCAGCCGTCCAGACAACATCAGTGTCATTGTTTTCTCCTACGTCCATCACCCACCATATTACAAACTGTCTGAATTTACAAACCTGACCTCTCCTAAAGTGTGTTGTTGGATGAAAGTTTTATTTTTGTGCTTGCTAACAGAAGCAGCAGTTTGTGGATGTCGCCACTGGATCTCTGGGTCAGGGGCTTGGAGCTGCCTGTGGAATGGCCTACACTGGGAAATACTTTGACAAGGCCAGGTAACAAACACAAACACACACAAATAAAGAAAACAACCTCCCTACAGAGTCTCAGCATATAAAATATGTTTAAAGGAGCACACCAGCCCAGTTTACCTTTATACATTATGTATGACAAAATATAAGCTGCAGTGTGTCATGCTGACATGGGACATTTTGGCCTGTAGCTTTGCATCACACAAGAACCAACATGCCTGGGCTTTGTCAGGTTATCATTAAGGGAAAGAAACTCGGGGAACCAGGAGAGCTGACCTCTGATCAGTTCTGCCCTTGGATGAGGATGTGTTATCTTCTGGGTAATCTGAGAACAGAAGTAGCACCAGAAAAGATGTCAATTTAAAAAAAAATAATACGCAGGTTGACATCTATTTCTTTTCTGCATAATGGTAAAATACACATTTGAATCACAAAATATGACCAGACCAGACCTTGGGCCTGTACAATGAAGCAGGTTTTTTTCGGTAAGCGAGGTAACTTAAGAGTTAACTCTGTTCAGTACTATGAAGGTGGATCACTTCTTAGAAAACTTAATTAATCCCCAGCAGGGGCTAGATCACCATGGTAACTCATGCTGAACACCTAACCTGCTCCAGAGCAAGTTATTTTCTGGATAAGTACTAAACCTGTATGAAACTCCGCCTACTGACCAATCAGATCTCTTCATTGTGGAGGTCTGTGAGCTGATAGTAACTGGGGAGTCAGAAGAGAGACCACTACTTTTTGTACCTATAAGATATTAAATCAAGTGTAGGCTACTTTGCTTTCAGTTATAAATTCACATTTATTTTTGACAAGCCTCACACCGCACAATACACCATCAGGGCTGCGGCCTTAATAAAGTGTCAGACTCCCAACATATTACAAAATAATTAATTCAAGGGAAGAAACGGGTTATATAAAGTATTAAGATTTATTATGCACTAACGATGATAAAGTGATAGGCTATTATAAACTTTAATTTACACATTCCCATTCAGTGATTGTTATTTGTGCAAGTTCTTCCTGCATTTGTTTGATGCAGCTGTGGGATTTTAATCTCAAGTACCAGTATGTATTAACCTCATCATATTTTTTTTACATCAGAATAGTTTGCACTGAGTTTGTCAAATATGACGACCTGCTAACTGCAGAACAGTGAACGTGCTCATAGAAACTCTGGGTTTTCTTAACAGGTTGATAACTAGCTTAGTGTGACGGCTTAGTGAGATCTCTAAAGTCAGGGTCAGTGAAGCCAAGTAACCCAAAGATACCATGGGTATGTTTAACTCGCTTTAAGCCCAGATGTCATTTACTACTTAGCTGCCTGTTTGCAGGGTTGCAGATCAACCTATTAGTCCTTTTTCCTTTGGTCGTTACAAACCAGGAGGACGTGCATGGATCAACTATAGGCTTATAGAGAGGAAACAAACAAATGATGCCATAGTAACAGAGCCTATCTCTGAATTTCAAGGAGACATTTTTGAAACATTCTTTTTGCAGAAATGAAAGAAGGACAGTCTAAAAACAATGTTTTAGGCGTTACAGTTGCAGTGAAGCATGTGGTCAGGGCATGCGGCACTTGTATTCTGAGATGGCTGCCGTTGATATCTCTCACTCTGCCTTCTCTGTGCACTAGATTGTTTCTGCTCTAATAATCACACATGCAGTAGCACAGTTCATCCCTCCCTCACTCCCCTGACACAACCTTTCCCCCCATCATCTCTACAAAAGAAAATGGTAAAAAATCAGATGTTGTGCTTCTTCCCTGTGTGGTTTTTATACACGGTAAATTATATTGTGTACCAACAGTGTGTGATTGTGTATACTGTGTGTGATTCTGTATGAATGCACAAGTCATGTACATGTTTCGTCTGTGATACTCGAAGCAACTTGTCACGTTCATTTGCTGCAAAAAAACAGCTCAAGGCTCATTTGAAGCTGCATCACTGGATTCATAATTTGAGACTAACGCTGCTGAATCGCAACTTTATTTACCCCTCATAGAAGCACAAACACACAATCTACACCTCAGGTTCATATGGGGTTCAGCAAAATGCACCTGCAACTCTAATGGAATATAATATATATATATACTTTTTTAATGATCAAACTGTTGTAGGAATCCTTCAGACAGCCAAACAGACCCATCATCTCCTGTGTGGTTTAGTAAAATACAATACATGAATGCACCTGTCAAACTCACTTATCTGTAAGACGCAGTACGTTACACTGGTAATCGTTCATGCTTATGTGACTCTTCAGATGTAAAAATGTAAGTATGTATGAGACACATGCAGGGTTTTTACTCATAGTCATAGAGACAAATATCATAGATAGACCTCTGATACACCCCAATCCATTTGGTGCTCCCGCCCAGTTGACAAAGAAAGGAAAACATCCATACATGGAATATGAATAAACAAATCTTATTTCCTTTCTGTTTTCATGTTAATTTTTTTGAATGACCAACAAGACATTTTTCAAACCTTCGCTCATCTGTTTTGTTTTGGACCATGAATGAAAGAAAATCCCCTTGTATTTAAATGTTTAATAATCTTGTCATTTATGAAATCAGTTTCAGAAACAATTACCTAAAGACCAAAAGACACACAGATCCAAAGCATCTTTTGAGAAACCATATCAACTCAAATCTGAACTGAGCACACAGGAAATAAATGAACTATGAGCTCAATATGATCGATCCCCGCAATCATGAAACGATCGTTCACTGCTCAACAACCTGCCAACAATGTTCCCTTTGGTTGCATTGGTTCTGGGTCAACATGGAATTCCTTTACTGACTCTGGGGTCTCCAGCTCAGATTTAAAATCCTAACAGGGCGAGCTGGAGCCCAGTTCTCCCACAATAAACAAAAGAAAGTGAGAGAATGGGACAGAAGCGGGAAAGAAAGTGAGAGGCAGGTGTAAAAGCTGTGGAAATGCTGATATGTTCAAAAGTAGGTATTCAAAAATTGGTTTGAAAACATAGTCTACTAAAAATGAACAAAGGGGAAGAATATTTATTTTAGTATATTATGACCCTTCAGTTCATAATGACCCTTTGTTTTAATCTGTAATACTATTGAATTCAACTTGATTTGATTTAAGAGTTATTGTACAACTATGAGGCTCCTTCAAACATATGGTATCTTTTTTCCTTTCACGCTCAATTCTCAAATATCTTTCTCTCCATTCTCATTCTCCTCCTCACCTCTTGAAATATCTCTTTTTTCTGTCTTTTCCTCCCCTCTTCTTTCAGTTGTTCCTTCCTCTTTTTTCTGTGCTGGGTGTTTTTCTTTGTCCTTGGTTGGAATGTGGGGTGTAATTCTAGTGTCTCAGCCTATCTTCCAGCTTTAATGAGAATGTGTCTATTTGAGTGGAAAGCTGTCAGGAGTCATTATGCCATGGAAGCACTGAGCCTGGGTGGGCAGGGTAGCCAGGCATTGTGTGTTTTCTTGTTTCTGTTAGGTGTGAACGTCAGCTGTAACTTTGAGACTAATAGGAGTATTCAGAGGCTGGAATGATTTTCCAAGACTGAAAAAATGAAAAAGTATCTGTCTGATCTCTAAATCTACTTCCATCTTGATTTTTTATCTCTCTCCTTGTAGCTATCGAGTGTTCTGCTTGCTTGGGGATGGAGAGATGTCGGAGGGATCAGTGTGGGAAGCCATGGCCTTCGCTTCTTATTACCAGCTAGACAACCTGGTCGCCATCTTGGACATCAACCGTCTTGGTCAGAGTGATCCAGCGCCGCTCCAGCACCATGTGGAGAAGTACCAGCGACGCTGTGAGGCCTTTGGGTGAGTGGGAGGGAGGTCATTGTGTTAGTGTGTGCACAGGAGAGGGAAGGGTGGAATGAATTGTGACAATTCCTCCAGTTACTCCTTAAAGAATGAAGAGATTTAAGAATAATATCTCTCATTTACTGAATAAAAAATTAAAACATTAGTGGTTATAATGATAATGTTACAGTTTTATTTAGCACAGGGATTACCAAACTTCATTTTCAGAAAGTAGGAAGTTGGATAACGAGTAGACCTGGATGAGGTACTAAGAGGCTGTTTTTGATGCTGTTTTGTAGGCAGGAAATAGGATTTTAAATTGTATGTGATTTGCTACTGAGAGTGAGTGAAATGAAAATGAACTGTGGAATGGTGTGCTATTTAAGGCTGGCTGAAGACCTGCGTTAGGGATCATCTGAGAGTTTAATGTTCATGCAGCAAGGCCTAGCCGTAGGGAGTTACCAGTTATTACCAGAACCTGCACACCAGGAGTTGTGTTGTATGCTCAGACAGGAGCAATTCTGACAAACCTGTTCCCCTCATAAATTGTGAGTGATTTGTCGCATTCACTATTGTATGTATTTAGTTTCAAACTGGTTGCTTTAAAAAAAGAAACATTAAGAACATTATAAACCCCCAAAAGTCAAAGTAAAGGAGTTACCTGATCCTCAGTACTGAACATCTTTTGAAACTGATGACAAAGATAGAAGTTTATGTCAGGTTGTGTAAATGTTGATCAATGTTGGTCAAATTAAACCTGCTGCATGTCGTCATCCCACGATACAACACTTGCAGTCTTGTATGAGCTAAGATGCTAATATTTGACTATGATATGCTCCAGTGCCATCACAAGTAGGGTGAATGATGGTATGATCTAAGTTCTATTCATTCAGGGACCCAGACCTTATAGCAACCTGTATGACTGTATTAAGATACTGTTGGATCTGCTTTGTTTTCCCAGCTGGCATGCCATCATTGTGGACGGCCACAGTGTTGAAGAGCTGTGTAAGGTGCTGAGTCAGCCCTGCCATCAGCCACTTGCCATCATCGCCAAGACTATCAAGGGCAAGGGTATCCCAGGTAATAATCCCTGAAACACACAGTGATACACAGTTGTGAGGTACGGTTGTATCTTGTAGTGTCTTACTTTTTTTTCTCATAAATATCTCCATAGTGTATTATCTCCAATCATTATTTTGCTTCAAGGTGTCTCTCTTTCAGTTTGGAATATCAAATTCCAAGTCATGAGAGAAATGCCAAGCTGAAAATTTCAAATATTAAATTACACACCATGTTTACTAGCAGTGATATTTTTCTTATATTTCTGACCAGCCAGAAAAAAACTTTTTTAATTATGGCAAGGTAAAATGGTGGAAACTGACTGGGAATAATGTGGCCCAACATCAGTGCAAAGGGCCCTAACTCCCCCCCTAATCCAGGCAGCGCTTCAGTGATTTGACAGCCGCAGTTTAGTAATCCCTTATTATGTGCAGGATACACTCACAGCAATGGCCCATTGTGTTTGTGTTGACTTTACAGTAAAGCGGAGTGTGCATGACCACGTGTTCGTGCGAGAGAAAGAGACCCAAAGAAAGCTAAAACAGACAGTTGTTATAACAGTGTGTGTCTCAGAGAGCAGGAGGTCTTTGTATATATAGGATTGTGTGAAAACACGTGTGTTGGTACAAGTCTGTGGCCTCTTTATCTGACCTTTTAACCTTCGACATACCATATAGTAATCCACTGAACTGGACTGTTATTAACATATAGTGCCACAGCTGGCCATGGTTTATTTAAGTTGTTACGAGGAATTTGGTTCTTAAGAGCACATGTACCTAGAACCATATGAGAGCGTATATTCTATATGTTTGTAGGCGAGTCTAATTCCTCAAATACCACAAACATTGAATTTATTGGTTAATGTCAACTCAAGCTGCTTTGACTTGAATCTGTAATGTAACATTTTAAGAAATGTGCAATTTATGCAGCAACTCTTTTAAAATAAAAGCATTGCCTTTATTTTGTGTGTGTGCGTGTGTGTGTGTGTGTGTGTGTGTGTGTGTGTGTGTGTGTGTGTGTGTGTGTGTGTGTGTGTGTGTGTGTGTGTGTGTGTGTGTGTGTGTGTGTGTGTGTGTGTGTGTTTCAGCGGCTGAGGATAAGATGGGCTGGCATGGTAAACCCCTGCCCAAAGACATGGCTGACAGTGTGATCAAGGAGCTGCAAAACCGCATCATCACATGCAACAAGCGTCTCCATCCTGCTCCTCCAATCGAGGACGCGTCACCTATCAACCTCCGCAACATCCGCATGTCGAGTGCACCAAACTACAAACCTGGAGACAAGGTACACTAACTTACAGGTCTATGTCAAAAATAATTTTCTATGCTGATGATATCAACTCATGAATTATTAGCCTAAGCAAATTCATTCTCACTAGATAGAAAACAATACATCTTTCAGCAAGCAGTGTAGCCACAAAAAAGATTTGATAATAATTTGTCTGCATTGGTTGTCTGTTTGTTTCTGTGTAACCAGATTGCTACAAGAAAGGCATATGGTATGGCCCTGGCCAAGCTAGGCCGTTACAACGAGCATGTGGTGGCTCTGGATGGAGATACCAAGAACTCCACCTTTTGTGAGCTCTTTAAGAATGAACACCCCAACAATTACGTGGAGTGCTACATTGCTGAACAAAACATGGTAAGACAGAGATATTGGTTCTCCAATAAAACAAATGTTTTAAACAAGTGCCAAACCTATGTGGACATGTACGAAGGTTGTATATGAAGTGCACCTCTTTTCTCCTCATGTTCTCATTTCTTGCTCCTACAGGTGAGCGTGGCAATAGGTTGTGCTGTGCGAGACCGCAATGTGGTGTTTGCCAGCACCTTTGCCACCTTCTTCAGCCGAGCCTACGACCAGCTCCGCATGGCTGCCATCTCTGAGAGCAACATCAACCTCTGTGGCTCACACTGTGGTGTCTCTATTGGTGAGTTCCTTCCTCTGGATGCGCAATCATGCCCTGAATGAACTTTCATTTGAACGTTCAGTGGTCTTTTATTTCTCCGGACTATTTTCTCTCTTATAGGTACAATTGTTATACAGTTCTTTACATTAGAAGTGGCATGTTTTTAATTAGATTTTGTTAGCATACAGCTGCTGTTGCAAGCTGTGCTCTGATGTTTGATGTAGCTTTGATGTAACCAGCTTATCATTTTTCCAAACTCAATGTTCAAGTGATAGACTTTGCAGGTCAACACAATTCAACCAGTTGTGACCTCAGTAAAATAAATGAATTTTTACACACCTATTCTCTCACTTCCTTTCAGTTTGTTAAATTTACGTTTTTACAATGTTTCAGCTTACTGACAGAAAATCATGTGAACAATGCTGAACGACCTGTCTTGGGAAGATATTTCATTCTGTCGTTAATTCTTTAATTTCCCTTGCAATGGACTGAAGGTCTCCTCAGCATTTCTTGATTTTTATTTCCCTTTTTTCCCTCTCCATCTTCTCACCTCACCTGTCGTATGTATGTCCACACTCCTGTCCTGGTATCAGCACTTTTCCTCCTCTCCTCCTTCCCTCTCTGTACCTCTGTGGCGGTGAGGACAGAGCGGCCTGATTATTCTTAACCTCCTCCTCCCCATTCTCCTTATCCTCCACCTCTTCAGGTATATTGCATGCCCCCCTTTTCATAATGATTGCATGCCAGTCTGCCAGTATTAGTTTCAGTCAACAGCAAACATGATTCTAACTGTACCTGACGTTTTGTGTGTTCATTAAGGTGAGGATGGACCCTCTCAGATGGGTCTAGAGGATCTGGCCATGTTTAGAGCCATTCCCACGGCAACCATCTTCTACCCTAGTGATGGTGTCTCCACTGAGAAAGCTGTGGAGCTTGCCGCCAATACAAAGGTACCCTAAATCATCTTAAATAAAAAAAAAGGATGAAATATCTAAATGTTGAAAGCAGAACTGAAAGCTCTATCATTTTCAATCAAGCAAACATTATTAGTGTAGCACTTTTCATACGATGTATGTAGCACAAAGTGCTTTACATAACAACAGTTTGAGATGTATAGGAGTTTATTTTCCTCTGTTTTCCTCAGAAACTATAGACCCATTGAAGTTTATTTTGTCTTTTTTAAGGGTCTGTGTTTCATCCGAACAAGCCGCCCAGAGAACAACATCATCTACAACTGCAATGAGGACTTCCATGTTGGTCAGGCTAAGGTTTGTTAAAGTCACCCTCCTCTGTCGTAGCACAGCACAACCTTTTACATTCAAGAGCTGTGATAAGTAGAAAGTGCAGATGATGTTCATGACACCACACCTTGTCAATATACTCTTCCAACTCTTTCAACCTTTTTTGTCTTTTAGTCCCACATTGTCATTATGATATCCTTACAGACTTGCTTGACTGCACTGTGTCTGTGTTTCCTTTGGGGGTCTATATACAAATATATTTTCCCTTCTCACTCAGGTTGTGTCTAAAACCAATGACGACCATGTGACAGTGATCGGAGCAGGAGTGACCCTCCACGAGGCCCTCGCTGCTGCTGAACAGCTGAAGAAAGGTACGAAGAAGAACAAAACCAAACCAAACAACCAATGTCAGCAGCATGCAAGTGAACAAAGTGTGATATGAATCAGTTAAGACTGAGGTACATCCTCCACCTTCCTCTCTCCTCCCTTTAGAAAGAATTAACATCCGTGTGATTGATCCTTTCACCATCAAACCCTTGGACTCCAAGACCATCATTGCCAATGCCCGAGCCACCAGAGGACGCATCATCACAGTGGAGGATCATTACTATGAAGGTAAGGAGTCTGGAATCCCAAAAACCTCACAGAAAAAAACATTTTCATAGGCGGGCAAGAATTCCTACTGCTGGGGCGCGCTGGTGGTGCAGTGGTTAGGGCGCGCGTCCCATGTATTGAGACTCTCGTCTCGAGTGGTAGGCCCGGGTTCCACCCGTGGCCTCTTTCCGCATGTCATTCCCCGCTCTCTCTCCCTGGTTTCCAACTCTATCCACTGTCCTATCTCTGCATTAAAGGCACGAAAAGCCCAAAAAATAAATCTTAAAAAAAAAAGAATTCCTACTGCTGCACATCACAGAGAATTTGCCAAATCAATTCCCATCTATATGTTTTAAATGGCGGCATTTTGACCCAGCCACAAAGATAATACAGGATTTCATCCTGGCGGCAGTGTAAGGGAAAGGATTCTCCATTAGATATAAATGTAAACGTCACTGAATCGAGTTGCTCCAAGGACTTTGCTGTTTTTAGTGGTTGAAATAGCATCCTGTGTGTTATGTAGGGGTAGCAAGTGCCTAAAACTTGTAGTTCATCTAAAGATCTCTGTTTTTCTGTGGTTGTCGGCTGATGTAAACATGTGTTATTTGAAGAGGGGAAAAATAAATAAGCCTGTGCTGCAGCTCCACAGAGTGTTCAATGTTGGCTGCCACTTTCTTTAGATCTTTTTTTTTTTTGCCCTCCAGGCCTCCGGGAGAGTCATGTGACTGAAAACTAAGAATCAGTGATTTTTTCATAAATTGTTCTAATCAAGCAATCATTGCTCAATGCATTTCAAAATCCAGGGTTCAACTCTGGCCTGTCACATATCTTATAAATCTTTGAACTACAGGCTCTTCAGAAAGTAATTTTGAACAAAACAAAATTTAACATATTTTTTACTTTATTTTAGAAACCCAGAGAGGCCACATCCATGAATGTATGATAATACTGGTTTGGTTTAGACAGCCCTATTGAAAGATTAAATATCATCAATAATTGTCAGGATTTCACAGCCACATAAAGTAATCACCAATCCTAAAAAGAGCCATTTCAATTCTCATAGCTCTGCCTGCACATACTGTACAAGTTCCGAGGAGGCTGGAGGTAGAAGGCGACCGAAGTGTAAGGATAATACTGTACATGTCTGTGAATCAGGATGAGGGTTAAGAGTTTGAAGGGATTACTATTCACCACCCGCAAAACAAAAAGGTGAACTGGATCAAATCAGAATATGGAGAGCCAAAAGAAGGGGGAGGGAAGAGGAAGGAGAAGCTGGGAGAGCTTGTCAGTGTCTCTTTATTTCAGCTCTGACCTTAGGGCTCACGCTGACCTACATACAGCATGTGCATGGCCAAAATATGTTTCCAAAATGTTTCCTTCTCTCTCCTCTTACCTCTCCCTTTGTCATTGTGTTTGTTAGACTACTTGCAAATAAACATGTACACTCTTTGCATGACTTGATGTGTCCATAACATGTGGACACTGCAAACTGCAGGTATAAAGCAAAAGCATTGCACGTCCACCTGACCTCATTATTTTGAGATTTTTGGTTTTTGGAAAGAAAATAAAGGAAATAAAAGCTGAAGGGAAAATATTGTCACGGTGTATCCAGTTGCAGGTCAGCCAGTGGCTTTATCCCACAAACTGCAGAGGAGGTTGTGAGGGGGCCATTGAAGAAGTGTCAAAATTTGAGTTGAAATTGAGATTTAAAAGTGTGAAAGGGAAATAGAACAGGAGTGAGTCCAGTCAGTCTACATCACATTGCAGAGCCCTCCTCGTGATTTGAAGAGGTTTACTTTTAGAGAAACTGGAAAGAAGGAAGTGTTAAAGATAAAATAACAAATGAAAATGAATTTGAAAATTAGGGGAGGAAACATGTTTAGCTGAGGATGAACTGACTTCTCTGTGTTGTGATTTTTCTCAGGTGGTTTAGGAGAGGCAGTGTGCTCGGCAGTAGTGAATGAGAATGGCTTCAACGTCCAACGTTTGGCAGTTTCCCATGTGCCGCGCAGTGGGAAGCCCCAGGAGCTTCTCAGGATCTTTGGCATCGACCGTGATGCCATCGCTCAGGCTGTTCGTAAGATGCTTAGTAGCTCTGCCAATGCCAAGTAAAAAAGATGGCAGCATGAGTAGCAGTGGAAGCAACATGGTAAATAACTCTTTGGTGAACTGATGATCACCAGAGAGAGAGAAAAAACAAAAAACAACCAACATAGACAAAGAGGAAGCACTTCTAGCCCAGTCACGCTCTCCTCCTCATAAGTATGGGAAACATTACTGTTATGACCTGGGTCATATTTGTGTTTTATTCTTGTTTATCGTGCAGCTCTGTCTCCTCCCCTGTAGTGTGTGGGTGTGCAGATCCAAGATTGTGTCTGTACCTGTGTGGATCTGCTACTGCGGCTCGTTTGAGGGGCTCAAACAGAATTGCTGCGACCGGATTAGTCAAAACACAACATCACAGCTTTTAAATCTCAGCCTGCTCTCTCCTTCACCAGCCACTTCCAACAAAGCCAGAATAAGACTTGAATCTTAAGATCATTTGTAATTGTTTTTGGCCTGATTTGGCTGATTATGTTAATTAGAAATTAAGTTTAGGTTTTGATACATAGACTGTTAGTTTGTAAAGTTAGAGCCGCACAGCAGTTAGTCGGAGGAGGTAGCTCTTTTAAGTTTACTTCTTTTTCTCTGTTTTTTTTGTTTAGGAGATGAGGTTAAAAAAATAATTTGTTAATGAGTTTATTTCCTTGGTTGAGAAAGATCAGGGCTTGTTTAGTTCACTTTTTGGTTGTTTTGGTGACTGCTCTGCTGAAACTGATAAAACTGCTGTGTTCAATCTGAATCTGATCAGGGCTTGTTTAGTGGATGAGTTGGGTTCACTTTTTGGTTGTTTTGGTGACTGCTCTGCTGAAACTGATAAAACTGCTGTGTTCAATCTGAATCTGTGCTACTGGCTTTCTTGGGCGTGGGATGAGTTGGGGTTACCTGTTTTGTTTAGGTTCCCCTAAACCGGTCGCATTGCATTACTTAATTTTGCTAAAATAAAATGATAATGTGATTTTTTTTTTCATTAACTGTTGTTAACGTGGTTTTGAGACCCCAGTGTTTTACCCCACCAATTTGTGAGTTTAGTAAACACACCCCTGTCATTCAAACATGAAACACACAAATGCACACAAACACACTAACCCCTTTCTACCTCCAAGTTCTTGTTAACGTGGTTTTGAGACCCCAGTGTTTTACCCCACCAATTTGTGAGTTTAGTAAACACACCCCTCTCATTCAAACATGAAACACATACAAATGCACACAAACACACTAACCCCTTTCTACCTCCAAGTTCTGGGACTGATGTAGTGTTTCGGTAAAAGCGGCGAATGTTGTATGGAGTAAACTGAAGTTTTTTCATATTTGGTGGATCGCCTAAGTTAATTGTCACAGTGAAAATTGTTTAAAATACAGCTTTCATTATTTTGATATTGTGTAATTTGCTGTCATCATTGGAATAGTAATTTTCATGGTTTGATATTTAATGCCAAATTGCTAAAATTGCGAAAATGCTAATCTAATGACACTTCGCGTAACGAGCTTTTCTATATTTTATTATTTTTTATATCATTTACAGAGATCCAACCAAATCCACCATGAGAGGGAAAATGGTAAAGGTAGTATGGACAACTCTTTTAAGGTATATATGCGACTTTCCATCCAGTAGATGTCGCACTTTTGCATCAGACATGGACTAAAAAATACTTCCTCGTACACTGAAGCAATTATTATGTCTTTAAGAACAGACACCTCAAGGACAACAAGACTCATTGGTGGACAAAATGCCTCCATTGTTTTTGGTTGTCAGAAAGAGGCAGTGGAGGGGGGGGGAGTTTTTTTTAAATACACAAAAAACAGATTAACAAACAGAAGATAACTCTTGTTGCATTCTTATAAAGTTTGAGGAGAGGACTTAAAAGAGGCTTATGAGGCTGCCTGTCTGCTTGTGTTGACGATGTTTCAGATGGTTAAAAGGGAACTAAAAGCTTCATAAGATAAGATAGTACCTGACTATTTAGAGCTTTATCTGTGAGAAATCTATTTCAGAATTTAACAGGAGTAAAAGTGGAGAATTACATACTACTGCAGCAGCAGCAGCTTTTTGGACCAACTGGAAAGTCTTTTGAGACTTATTTAGGAAGACTCATAATCCAGTTTAGAAGTAACAATGCGTATGGGGACAGGAAATGTGTACATTTATTTGAATATTGGGCAGGATAAATATGTGGTCCTCCAATAAGTGAGAGTTGAATGACACATGCTGATTTTTTTGGTGATTGAGTGAAGGGTTATGCCATGTAAGGAAGTTTTATCAGTACATTGAGTGTCTAAGGTGATTATAGCCAAGCACAATTTCTTAAATTAAATCTGGATTTTGCAGCATCAGCATCAGATTGCTGGTCATCCAGGTCACCATGTCCTCAAGTCATACATCTAGTTTCATTAACTGGCTGGTTTTAGTGATAAGTGTGAAGTGGTATCATCTGCAAGCCAGTGAAAATGTTTTATTTCCTCATTATGCTGCAAACAGCAAGCACTTCATGACAATAGAAAGAGTTCACCGTGCATGCAAGATTCAACACTGTAAATAATCTGATGAAGAGGGTCAGCTTAGTGTTGTCCCTTTAATGCCAATTAAGTGTCCTAGACTGTGTAACAGGATGTGATAATCAATTGTTTCAAATGCAGCAATAAAACTTAACAGGATATGTTCAGAGTAATCTTGTCCAAAACAATTAGGAGCTCACATTTTGCTCCATCCAGTGCTGTCTCTCTGTCTCAACATAATTGGAGTATATAACCTTATTGTATTTTTTATTGTATTATTTAAATATATTTTTGATAAACATTTGTATATTTTGTATATTGGCAGGTTTAGTATTTTGTATATTCTGGGTTTAATATTTGTATTTGTTTCTGTATTTAACTACTTCTATTAGGCATCTATAAGGTTTGCTCCAACAGTATTTTGTTGTAAGTCTTATCTTAATATAAAGCGAATGAAATTCATGTTTACCAATTTATTTTGGATTTGAAAAGCCCTTTTTTATAGAAAACATTTTGACATGTCAGTGAAGGAAAACCAAAATATCATAATACTGAAGATGGCTGAAATCCATCCAAATAGATTCTCCAGTTTAGGAATGCTGTCAATGTTCATCCTCATAGAACCACGCTGTCATGGCTTTAAGGGACATTTGAATGTATGTTGAAGAACTGTGAGTTACATTGTAAACCTAGTTCTCTGACTGAAGAGACTCTCTCTCCACACAGAGGAACTGTCCCCACCTCACAGGCAGCCAGACTCTGTGTGTAGCTGCTGTATGCGTAAGCACAAGAGACTGCCTAAAACCTCAACAGCCCTCCAAAACACGAAGTGCCATGACTTTAGGGCTTAAAGGGCCTCTCTCTTTGACCTCTAAAAAAATCAAACTAACTGACTAGTACAGGTAGTACCACAACACCAGCCCTAACTCCAGATCTGTTAGGCAGAGAAAAACAATATTCACCACTAATCTCTACACAAAACCGATTACCCAATAAGAGTGAAGCCGCAACATCCAGTCATTAGAAACAAATTAATGTTAAAGATGATGACCAAGAACAGGAACAAATCTCTGTGCCTGCTGGATAACTAACTGTAATTGAGTGGGGCACACTCCAGTTTAAAGGGGACATATTATGAAAAATCGACTTTTACAGTGTTTTTGAACATATATTTGTATAACCTGAGAGTCTACTGACCCACAACATGTGAAATAAACCCATCCAGTCCTTTGTTTGTGGTCTGCATAAGTCTTACAACACAGAGAAAAGTGTTCTGTTTCAAATTTGCTCTCCTTGATGTCACAGTGGGATTCTGGTTAAAAAAAAAACCTCCCCTCCTGTGTTGTCTACGGCAGCCATGTTTTTCCCAGGGAGCACGCTGACAAGTTGCCATGAAAGCTCAAAGCTAAACTTGTGTCGGCACTGGTTGGCACACCCCCCGGGGTGAGGTGGAGCTCATTGCATTTAAAGAGACACACACACCAAAACGGAGCGTTCTGAGAGAGCTGGTTTATACAGGGTCACAAACCTCCTCTGGTGCTTGATTCATGTTATATTTTGAACAAAGCACAGCACAGATGTTTTATTTAGACCACAGGGACTGTTTGAAAAGATTGAGAAGGAGGATAATATGTCCCCTTTAAACTCCAATCACCGGTGGACCTGAAAAATGGCTTTAACAGGGCTCTAACAGGGCAACATGTGGACTGTCTCTGCCTCTGTTCCTCATCTTATTGTTGGGAAAGCTCAACTTTCCACTTGAGAAAACCTGAGAAAGAAAGACTGGACTGGGACTTAGCACAACACTTCATGCTTCCCTGAATTTTCTGTTGTTTCTTTGGTTCATTGATGTATTCATTCATATTTTTAACATTCAATTAGAAAAGTAACACAGTCTATCACAAGGAAAATCACTTCAGTTGATGTCTGCTGTGTAATTTATGAAGTGACTTATTTGGACCACAAGGTGGCAGTATGTGACTAGTAAAGCTTTCACTACAGTTCCAAGCGTCACAAAGAAGTGTCAAAAACAAGCAGTTACATTTTATGAAGAAAAAGATAGGGTGAGTATAAATTATGATGTATAAATTATTATTTATAATAGTATTATGTGTGACTGTTATCTATTATAGCCTGTCTGTAAAACGCTTTGATCAGTTGAGGCTGTTTCTAAACGTGCTATACAAATAAACTTGACAATAAACTTAATGTTGTGCCTTGTTAACATACTGTAGTGCTTCACCGTTGCCAATCCAGATTGTTATTCAAATCTAACTTGACAGTTTTTTGTGCAAAAAACAGTATAAACAAGACTGATTATACAAATGCAAAGTGAATGCATAATACAGTAGGCCTATGTAAAATAAGCTGTTTCTGTTGCCTGGTTTATGGCTTAAATTAAATAACATGTGATATAAACAAGTTACAAATGTAAAGTGTTTTATAGATTTAAATTCTTCTTGAAGTCTTATTTTGAGTCAGTGATGGAGAGGAAGGAGCTTTGATGGGGGGAGGCCACTTGGAGCTGTGTTTTTGTGTTAACAACAGAGTTTTAAATTATAACCAAGTTTGTTTGTTTTTCCTGTCAAGATTGCACCTCAGGCAGCATACAAAAATGGGTGCGTATATATTATCGTTGTTCTACTATCACTTCAAAGCTGCGTGCTGATTTCCACTCACATGCAACATTTCCCTTTTAACTGTTTGTATCATTTTATTGCAACAAGTCAAACCTTTAACTATCAGTACTTACCCTGGTACATACCCTACGGAGCAAACAGCTGCCTTTCAATAACACTGCTTTGTCTCTCCTCTTTTTAACTTTACTGCAGCATTTTACACTTGTAAAAAAGAAAAGAAAAAAAAGGAGGTATTTTTTATTGTACCTGACAGTGAGGGCAGGATGAGAAACAAGAGCAGTACATTACTTCTTTCCAAAGCCAGAACACCCATTTTATCAAACAGAGATTTTTAACCTGCAGAACAAGAGAGTTGTTGTCTACTGGTCTCTCAGTTGTTCACTTACTTTATTTTATTGTGCAACTGTGTGGATGAACAGCTTTTTCAGATCCAACATGAATATTTGTTAGACACACAGTAACACAAAAAAATAAATAACCCTTCACTGGCCCTTGCTGGAAGAAAATGTGACCTTTTTACAAAAATAAAGAAATTCAAAATAAACACCAATAGCGTTTTAGAACAACGATCAAAAATGATATCCAGAGACTTGAGTTAGTAAAAAAAATTATCTTTACTTTAAGGATACATTACACATTTGTTTTGAATGCAATGAACTGAGTATACCAGTAGTCCTGTTATACATTTCATATTACTCTACTGGTGCTGCTGTCTTCTTCTTTTTCTTCTTCTTCCTCTTCTTCTTCTTGCCAGGTGTACTGCCAGTTTGTACTGCTGCAGGTGTTGGTTTGTCATCGGCCTCTGAAGCTTCAGACTCTTCTTCTGAGCCAGCAGGTCTCTCCTCACCCTGTGACAGGTCTTGTGGTGTTTCCTCTGGGATACTGTGACAGAGCAGTCAGCAAAGTGTTAACCTACTCATAAGTTCTGAATACAATGGTCATTCATCTGCATGAAACTCATTTTAAATTCCAATTGTAAGAAACTTTTTTCTTAACATCAAAAAAATATATATACAAGATCATTAAAAACAAGTCTTGGGGCGCTGGTGGCGCAGTGGTTAGTGCGCGCGCCCCATGTATGGAGGCTGTAGTCCTCAACGTGGGCAGCCCGGGTACAAATCCAACCTGTGGCTCCTTTCCCGCATGTCAATCCCCACCGTCTCTCCCTGATTTCCGTCTCTGTCCTATCTCTCCATTAAAGGCACAAAAGCCCAAAAATCTATCTTTGTAAAAATAAATTAAAAAAATTAAAAAAACAAGTCTTAACTTATGAAGTCAGCCTGGTATTTTACCTTGTCTGAACTTCTGGCTTTTGCTTTGTCTTCCCAGCATCAGTGTATTTCTCCAGCAAAGCCACAAAGAAGCCGTGTGTGCGGGTCTTGTCGGTGCTGGCCCGCAGACACTGGTTGAGTGGGGGAAGGCCTCTTTCAGGCCACTGAGCCAGCAGTGGAACCAACCTGGACAAGGAAACACAACCCATTCAGGGAAGAGTTTTACAAAAACAGATTTCACAAGTCCAACAGTAAATACCCGCACATTTAGGAAATGAAAGCTCATTTCATATCTTCAGAGTGGCCAACTGTTCTACAAACAATCACATCAAAGTCAAGGTGGAAATACACAGTTGATAAAAAAGACAATATGTGATCAGGGACCTACTCAAATAGTTGCAGGTATAAAAACATCACTGGGTTAGTCACATTTGTTTGTAAGAGGTTTACCTGAAGCAGGGGTTCTGCTGCAGACAAGCTGTTACGACCTCCTCGTTCTCCTGGCTGTGGATGGAGCAAGTGGAATACACTAAGCGTTTCAGGCGAGGGAACTTGAGCGCGTGGTTCAGGCACCGCAGCTGGAAGGAGGCCAAGGAGGTAAGACGGGCTTGATTCTTTTCCTCGCCAGCAGTGGAGTCATCATCCCGGAGACACACCATACCTAAACCCCCACAACAGATTAAAGATCTCTTGTAAGAGCCACTAGAAAAAGACCAACAATGAAATCAGCCTTCTAACTGTAAATGATCAGATTAGTGAACATCTAAACCAGATGTTTCAATTCAAGTATGAAATAATGTTATTCAACATGCTGCAAGAATGTCTGATCCTGGGTTAAAACTGGGCAGGGTTAGGTTAGAATATGTTCATGCAAATTAAGCATCAATGCATAAACAAATACTAAGAACAGTAACACAGTAGCTTTTTGGCTGCTAAGACACAGCATGGACAGCTTCCACTATAATTTAACTCAGATTTTTGCGTTTGCTTAATGACAGACAGCAGTTATATCATGCATGCATTTGAGATATTTTGGGCCAGAGTTCTAGAGGATTAAAATCCATGTTTATTTATCAACAGGCACACTACCATTAGATTTGTTTTTATGGGATTAAATTGTTTAAGAATATGAATACTTGCATTCAACTTTAAGAATCAGGATTAACTTTAAGTTTTATGAAAGCCCTGATTTACTGCTGCAGTTTACAAGGACAGGATGAAATATTTGCTCAAACTTCAGAATTCAAATAGTGAAAACAAATCTTAATCAAGCCACTACTTTTTAAAAAGGACCAGTCTTAACAGATTGAAAGGGAACTACTGTTAAAAGGCTAACTTGGAAGTCAAGGACTCATATCTATGAGGAAAGCAGACAGATGTGACCTGGATATCTCTGTGATGTTCATGAAGATTTGACTGGCTACAGTACCTGAGCCGCTGCATGATGGATCCAACAAGATATATTCTACATCTTTGAACTGTGAGCTGTCATGGTCCACTTTCAGGAAGTCTTGATTTGCCAGCTGCTGACAGGTAACCCCAGCTCGGAGGAGGAGAGTCGACATGGTGGCGAGACGCTTTGCATCCAAATCAAAGGCAAACACCCTGCCCTTGTTCTTCATGATGGCTGCAAGGTGGCTGGTTTTGTTGCCAGGGGCGGCACATGCATCTATGAGATGGCTGCCAGGTGGAGGGTTTAGGAGGTAGGCGGGGAGGCAGCTGGCTTTGTCTTGAAGAATGATGTGGCCAGCCTTGTACAGAAAGTGGTCATGGAAGTCAGTTTTAGGGGAAAAGACCAGCACCTCTGGCAGATGTAGGTCCCTCACAAAGTATTTCGCCTTCAGGGTCAAGTCCTCCAGCTTGGAAGCCTTTCCCAGGTAGGAGAAGCCATCCCTCTTTAAGTAGTCCACAGTATCATCCACAGTGGTCTTCAGGGTGTTCACACGCACATACCTGGGCAGCCGCACACCGGCGGGTCCCACAGTGCCAGCCGGGAGCAGGTCTATATTCTTGCTGACCCCCTGCTTTACCTTCATCCTGGCCAGCACCGACTGCAGTCTTGAGCGATGTTTCATCATCATGGTCTTCCATGAGCCGCCGCATTTTAAGCCCCGGCCCATGAGCAAGTCGTGAACTAACACTTTAGCCAGATGAATACTTAGCTTTGTCTGTTTGAGTAGTTTGGTGGACTCGATGATCTCTTGTAGGATGGAGGAAAACTTCTGGGTCTCAAAAACCAAAGCGAACAATTGTTTGATGTTCTTAAATTTACTGTCGTAGACCAGCGTTTTTAAAGCGCCCTGTTTATTTTCTGCTTTCTCCAGGATCTCAGCAGCTTTCACGTACAGAGCCATGGCGCTAACTGTTAGCTAGCTCCCACACAGGACTATTAACCTGCTACTTGCTGGTTACTTCTCTCGACTGACCTGACACGTTCCTACTCTTGTCGAAGACTTCTAGTCCCTGAGCAGCGACAAACCATAGACTGGAAAAACCATTACTTTTCCAACCTGCACATGGCAGAAGGGTCATGACTCCGGAAGTACAAACTAACGTGTCATGTTTTCTTCTGACGTAGGACGTCCATCCAACCAATCACTGATAAGTAAGTAGAATGCCACCAATGCTGCATTCATGTGCTGCTCGGGTGGTCGAAGTTTCCGAGTTGTGAAGTCGTTTGTCTGACTTCAGTGTGTTCACGTGATTTCAGTTCGGAAAGTCTGAATGTTGTTGCAACAACAAAACACAACGTTGATGCCTCGAAAAAGATGAATGAAATGTAACTGTAACAAGTTATATCTGAGCAAAACGTTGATGTGCAATACATGAACAATTAAAAAAGTATGTTAACATTGACTAAACATATTTTGCTCCCCAGGTGATCGGTAAGTCGGGCACCTTATTATATTATTATTCTTTCCCGAGTTGTTGTTCCGTCTTGAGCAGGTGTTCATCTGCATTTTACAACCGACACCACGTGAATGCAGCACAAACCGGGACCATGTACCACCAAACACCGGAAGAATGTTTTCCAATTAGAGGCGCAATGTAATGCTTAACGCTGGAATGCTTATGGTTTCCCTGAACTTCTCGTACTTATCTTTTCTTTTTGCCTTGTCATTTTTTGGTTGGGGTTGCAGCTTTGTTTTGTTTTGTAGGATACAAAAACGATTACTGTCAATTATGTCTCAAATTTAACTCAACATATGCCAGTGATCAATATTATTATGGACATATTTTTGGTTTTCATGACAGATTTAGTCATGTTTTTTTTTATTTTTCCAATTAATTAATATGTAAAAATTGACCTGAGGGCCCCGTTAAGAGTTGATGGGGGGCTGCACGTGGCCCCCGGGTCGCCAGTTGCCCACACCTGCTCTAGATGTAAATGGGTGGATCTTCACACATTTACTTTTCTCAACTGTTAAATTTCCTAGTATTATTTCAACTCAGATAGTGTCCAGGTGAAAACACAGCAGCTAACTTGAACACATATCAGCTGAAACAAGTAAAACAGATAATGAAGCTGATGAGAAATATAGATTTGTTTATTAAAGTTAATTCTCTGAAACATTCTCATAAAGGAGCCACAACAAAATGTAGTACACTGCATCACAGTGTAGATTATCACAATAGGAATTAACACCGCAATAGAAATCCCCAAGCTGTCATACATTTTCACTTTAGCATGACAAAACATTTACAATAAACTCAAATTGTGCAGGTTCAAATTCAGTAAACTGAAAATGAACCATGAACCACTCCTCCTGCAGCATGAGAAAACGAAATAACATGGAAGACAATGTTGACAAAAATGTACAGAGCATTTTCTGGCACTTGAAGTTTACAAGTCAGATAACCAGCAACCGTCAACCCATAGCCGATTCTAACATACCTGCCAGGAAACAGCCAATACATTTCTGAACTCACACTGATGTTCAAGCACGTACAAACCAAACTATTGTAGCATCTTTCATAACATTTCAAGACTTTTAAGGATGACCCTGATGAAGGCCACAAGCCTAAACTAAGTTGTTAATAAGTTGATCTTCATACTATAAGTGTTGCTGGAGCATTTTGATTTCTGCGCACAAGGATCATGATTCTTTTTCTCCAACCTCTGAGGGAATGTGGCAGCAGTACAAATACATGATTTAAGTTTAGACAGATTCAGTTAATAAGAAGCACATCTTAATTCCAACATAGCTTAACCATCTTCAGTCTATAATATATTGTTGCTGGAATGTTCTTCAGCTAATTCATGTGAGGGCCTATGGAGATGCCTTTCACTCTTAATTTTTGAGGACATCTTAACCAACAATAAAAACAAAACATGGTCCTGAGTTTCAGTTTAACACAATGTTACAAGTCAGTGTTAAGGTTTTTAGGTGGAAGACAGTATCCCCAGACCAAATTGTAGTACAACCGGTCAATGTTTGGCGACTCCATCGCGCTTTTTACCAGTCTTTGTCTTCAAAGAGTTTTTGTACAGAAGCAGTCTCTCTGTGGTGTGAGGGGGCAGGTGGTTTCTCTTGGCTCTTACGATACAGGCTGCCATGGGACAGAACCTGTCGAAGCCCCCTGAGGTGGCTGGTATTGCCAACAGCTTCATGGCAAGGCGCTGGAGTTGAGGGAACCGAGCAGCAGATTTCCAGAACAGCAAACTGTAGTTGCTTTCCCACAGTGGTTCTGCTAGATACACATCAAGTTCTGTCATCTTTGTAGTCTTAGCGGGTGGCTGGAGGAAATTAAAGATCGACTTGCGCTTCAGATCATTTCCACCGACTCTGTCACAGTTGTTATGGTTAGGGCTGACACCAGATGCCTCCATCAGTGTGCTGGCATGGCTCTCCTCTTTACCATCTTGCTCATTTTCACTCACCTTGCTTGTCTTGTCTATGTCTATCTCTTCAGAGGAAGATGCTGGGGCCACCATACTTTCTAACATGGCTTCCATGATGATGCGAGCCTGATTCTTTAACGGAGGAGTCAGGAAACCCATTTGGTCCTCAGCATTAGCATCAGAAAACGGCTGGAAAAAAAATTCAAGTCATGAGTACAGGTTATGAGTGAAGATGGGAATGATTTATATTTATTTCTAACATAGTAGTAGCATTGACAAATTATATAAATGAATAAAAATTTGCGGAGCATGGCATTCTAATGCCATGATGCAATCAATCATTGAGTTTTAGTTTACCAGCTATGTGTGAATACTGTCTAAATGGGGGAAAAAAACAGTGTTTGTGCCCTCATTCAGTACCTGCAGTTTGATCCTAGGGTCAAGAACAGCAGCAACTATTGTGTCCTTCTGATGAATCATCGCCTGAAAGTGTGTGTGGAGGCCTGTGCGCAGAGCTTTGTTGAAGTGAGCGTAGTTGGTCACAAGGTTCTCCAAAGTCTTATCAAGGCCAATGAGGGAAGGTATGATGAAAGAGATGGTCACTCCGTTTCCTTGCAGGACCTGGAATTAAAGAGGAAAATTATTTCATATTATCTATATATCCACATCACTCCCTCTTGTGTGATTTTTCTTACATAACACAGTACTACAAGTACAGTAGCATATAGCAGTAAACAGTAATAAAAAAGTCCAGATATGCGCAAGTTCAAACGTAGCCCAGTTTGAAGGTGCTTTCTCATTTAGGACAGAGTTTATGCACTGCTAACAATTCAGCTGTAGGCATATATTAAAACGACAATGTAACAATGTCCTTTGGAACGTGGGATAACTTGGAGGGATGAGAAGAAACTGAGGCTTTTACCAGCGTCAACAGTGTGCTCTCTAGTAGATTTTTTGAGGGATTGGTTAAAATATGATAAGGTTGCCTTGTTACTATGATCAGGCATGCACAACTACATAACTTTCCATTGCTCTAGGAATAGGCCATTGACGAAGACATTGTCCATTGACCTAACCTTATTAAACCATCTGGTTCTTGTCACCTGCCTGTATTGATAACTGGTTTGCCATCTACCATACAGAATAAACAGAAGAGGCTTAGTGCCAAAAGCACTTAACTTATTTATACTTGGAGAAAAACACCAATTTGTATTTAATTTAAGAATCTTACTGAACATGTGATCTTGCTTTCATCCCTTCATGCATGAACTTCTATGTCACTTTCTCATTTACCTGCAAAGCCTCCTCAAAGGGCTCAAGAAGACCGAGGATGTCAATAACCTGCTCTCTCTTAACAATAACCAGAGGCGGGGCACTGGCAGTGTCATTAGCTTCGATGCGAGCCTGGGCTAGGAGAGTCATGACGGCGCTCCAAGTGGACTCCTGCACCATACGGCGTAAAGATACCATCATAGAGTTCCAGCGGCAGTTGCTGGAGGAAGGGAACAGAGAGATGTTGCATTCCTTCAGCAAAACCTAGACAATAAAATAGGGAGAAAAAAAGCTGTCTTAAAACTAGGGCTGTCAAAAATAAATCAGCAATTTGCATTAAAAAGATTATGCTAAATTAACTCAGATTATCTGCCTTTAATTTGATTTCATCCACTCAAGAGAATGACAAACAAATAACGAGTAAACCACCTCCCCCTCTCTACTCCTCCCACACCTGTCAAGAGGAGAGACTATGAACATGCTCTGCAGAGTATCACAAGGACAGAGACATCCTTTTGGTATGTTTCTACAGTAAAGGCAATGACTGAGGTGTCCTGATTTAATCAAAGCTTTCTTCTTTGTAGTATTAAAATAAAAGCCGATACCAATCTCCAATACCGATAATCACTGAATAAGCAAATATCGGCCGATATTATCAGCTGGCCTTAATCTGTCAGGCTCTAGTTAAATTATGATTCTACATGACTATATGGCTCACAAACAAATCTTTAAATAACCAGAGTAGATGAGACTGTTAAAATTGTTTGGTTATTTTTTTCCTATTTCTCTCTCCTAGAGCCATGAGATCTTTTCATAAAACATTCTAAATAACTCTACATATTACACAACACTGACTTTGAAAAGGCTAACTATCAGGTCCCATTACACCCCTACATCATCATGAATTTCAAATCTATCAACAAAAACAAAGACTTGATATTCCCATGCGGCCCCTTTGTTAAACACAAACTAGTATAAAATATATCTTCCAAATCAGAAGCATTTATTCCATTTCTCTTACCTCGCTCCAGTAGACACTGCTTCTGAAGAAAGCCACCACGTTGTGGACCTGAGAGAGAAGGTTTTCAACAACCCTAGAAGTCTTCAGTGCCTCCTTTATCACAAGCTGCAATGTATTTGCTACACAGGCGGTCTTGGTCCCGATCTGCAGCTCTGAAAAAGGGTCCTCCGCTTCAGACATCTGGTCTGACAAAAATGCCACGATCTCGTCTCCATCTGGTTCTCCCCTATTCGATGAGTACATGATCTTGTAGTCGCAGAATATGTTGTTTCCAGTAATGGCTTCTTTGGCCTTGTTAGCGAGTACGTAGCCGATGCTACGAGGAAAGATGCCAAAACTCAACAGGACACCTTCAAGCTCTCTGGCCACAGCAGCACTCAGGTTCTTATGGCTGATGTGACGAAATGCCACAACGGGACGCCGTATCTGCAAAGAATCACTGATAA